AATGAGTGAATGAATGGATGAGTGGGTGAATGAATGAATAGATGAATGAATGAGTGAATGAATGAACAAACGAAAGCATGGATGAATCAATGGGATAGTAAATTAATTAATTAATTAATTAATAGAACACAGTTTAGCACACCTTCGTTGGATTTGGTGATGTGGAAGTAGGCAACTCTCTTCTGATTCAGTCCGATGTCCCATCTAAATGAATGGAGAGAGAGAGAGAGAGAAATCGTAAAACACAATACCCAAACACACACACACACACAGACACACAAGCAAACAAACAGACACAGACAAACACATACACACACAAGCAGACAAACACATTAAGTAATGATAATTAATTAAACCTGATGACGATATTTTCCTGTGTTTGTGCCTCCTTCAGTTTCTTATCATAGTCTGCCTCTAGCTTCACCAACGGTCCGTAGACATTTTGGTACTGATAGGCGTCTTCGTATCTTAAGAATTAGATATCATTTTAATCATTATTATCCATTCTTACTGATACTGCATTGGTCATTTAACTTTTGAAAGATTGCCTAGGCTATCACTAATTCATTCACACACATTCCTACACACATCCATACACTACACACACACAAACAAACACACACACACACAAGCACACACGCATACCTCAGCATGATTGGCTGTGGTTCATCATCTCCGCCTGGTTTTTCCAAATCATCCAATTTAGCATCTGGATTGTCCTTTCGGTTTGGAAATAAAAAGTTATATAGCAGCAACAGTTATAGAAATTGTATAAAAAAAATTATATATAATAAAATAAAATGAATTGTTAAATTAGAAAAAACTCTACATACATATAATAATAATTATCATAAAAAGGCTTTAGCAAAACACTGTACAAAGAAATATTTAAAAATTTTCACACAAAAAATATTTAAAATAACCCAACTGACCTTCCATAGTTCTTCTAGTTTGTTGATCTGCTGGGCTGATATCTGCCTAGCTCTCATCTGCTCTTCACTGTTTGGGACTTTCACCAACCAGCTGAGCAGCTGCCTGTCTTGAATTAAGGGCTGCCATTGTGTCGGGTCCCTGAAGTATGGATAGATTGATTGTTCCAATCGATAGATTGATTGATTGATTGGTTGGTTGAGAGATTGAATGAATTTCACATTAGTAATTCGGGTTTATTACACCAGTAACAGCAAGACAAGAGATTCAAAACAAACATCAACAAACAGTAAGTAACTGAACGGGTAAGTAAGCAAACAAAAAAAAGAATACAACACACAAATCAACTAAAAATACAGTAAATTTAGTTCCACAACAACAACAACAGCAACAAACAAACCAACAAACATACAACCAACAACAGCCACAAATAAACAAACATACAGCCAACGACAACCGCAACAAAGATCAACCAGACTGACCAATTCATATCTTTGAGGTTACTAGAAGCGGCGCACGGCTGCCTGCACAGCAGAACAACGACTGAATCCGACTTTGCGGGAATGAACCCGAGAAGAAAGACATTCTTACAGCCGCAGTTGTAGCACTCGAGAATCGTTTCGCCCAGGGGTCCATCTTTATGTAGGGTCACTTCTTTTGCCTTAGCTCTCACTAAATGGTTCACTATGTGGCTGGTAGGAAGGGGGAAATATACGTGAAATGGTGTCAAATTGGTGAGGAAATTATTTAAAAATGGTGTGTAAAATGGCTGAAGTGGAAATAAATTGGAAAAAGTTAGAATGGTTGATAACCCCACGTTATGACTATTTATAATAATAATAATAGAATTACTACCTAGCCACAACAAAATTGACATTAACAACGTATTGATCAATAAAGACAACAAAAACTACAACAATGATAATAATAATAACCTTCCAGATGTATTTCCTCTACCGTTACAAAACCATTTCTTTGTCATGTTGCACATAACAACGCAGGCCGGATCATATATACCACAGTACCTGCAAGTGTGTGTGCATATTTAGAATTGTTAAGAGTATATAAAAATGACAATATGAATATAAACCCATTTAAATATGAAAATAAACTTATTTGAATATGAACGTAAACCCTTCAAAACATACACGCAAGCATGCTTTGGCAAATCTTTTCCATAGAATTGATCATCTTCATCCTCTTCAAATGTCAATTCGCCAATGGCCTTCGTGGCACTTTTAATGTTGTTGTCTAACCCAGTTGGGTCTATTAAGTCGAGCTGAGTTGGGAAAAGTGAAATGAGATAAAATAAGTAAAAAATGAAGCTAACTCGAAACACCTGTTAATAAATTTGATATTGCATAAAAAATTAATTATTGGTTCTTATTTCACCTTTTCAAATGATTAAAGATTAACAAATGAGAAAGAAAGGTAAGTCAATTCTATTTTTGAATTAAATAAGCAAGTTAATTAATTTAATTTAATAGATAGGATAGGTGTCTAAATTATGTAAACACCTGCTGTTTATGCTTTATGGAAGAAGGAAACTCAAAATCAAACTGAGAATTTTGAGTTTGCGATGGAAGGGTCATCTCGATAGGGTCGTAATCGTCACCCTGAGTTTCAGCAAACATTAAATCTGTATCATCCGTATCAAGGAAAGTTAGTGTTTGTGAATTCATCATGTTTAAGGCGTCCATTTTGTGTTTGTTTGTCTCTCTGTCACTGGCTATCCAAATGTTTCTGCCTTTTCTTTATTTCAGAAGTAAACTTCTCAGGATGTCGAATGAAAAAATTATTTAAAATTAAAATTATTGAAAAGCAAGATTTTAAAAATATTTTATGACACAAATTTTAAAACAAAATTGGAAAAATAGCATGAAAAAAACAAAAACATTCTTGGAATTCCCGAAACTAAACTGCTCACGTTTGTTTCAAAAACTTAACTTTTAATTAGGAAACTTTCGACAAATTATTATTTACAACATAAAAAATTATTAGGTAAATGAAAAATTATACCTTCGGAATCCAAAAATGGAAATAAGAAACCAAATTTGATGAAAAGAAATCGGGACTATTCACTCAACTGAAATGATTCAAAATTGGTACGATAAGCATGGGTATACCATTCGAAACAAAAGAAAAGGTACGAAAAGATACCAAATAATATAAACTTTTAAACAACGAGATTGTAAAATATCTAGAAGGCTTTCGCTAAATAGTAACGGCTAGCTATATCATAAAATTAATATAATATAAATACATATTTATATGTATATATTAAATATATTATACATATCTCACAATGACTGCGGCTGAATTCTCTATATTATATCTTATTCGGTCGACTCAAAATACTATAGGGGTATATCAAAAACTTCCCGATTTCAATTATCAAATCTCCCATTTTCATGCTTAGGAGATTGAATACTACATAAATCTAGCAAAAAACTACCAGCTTAATTCACTATATCAGCGCTACATTTAAAAAAAACCGAACCGTACGTAGTTTATAATGATAACTATTCGGTCAATTTAAGATACCATATATCACAAACGTCGAGATTTCCATTAAAAAATTATACATAACTGTTTGGTCGACTCATGATGCTATATATCAAAAATGCCTGGTTTTCGATTACCAAATCCATATATCCAATTCTATATATATATGACCAAATCATACATTTTCATGTTCAGCAGATTGAATACTACATGGATCAAGTAAAAAACTACCAACTTAATTCATACAATGTCAGCACCACAATCCCTGAAATGATTGAATTATATTGCGTGGTTCATTATGATAACTATTCGTGTCTAAAAACTAAAAATGATAAATATTCCTGTCTTAAAATTGAGTTTTACTGACTTTTAATAACATAGCAGTTTTAGTAGAACGGCCTTTTCTAACGTACAGGCACAGCAGCATACGCCTATGGTAGTCTTTGAGTTTCGGACTACAGTATTCCAACCGTGGCAGCACGTAATACTGGGACTGAGACATAGCCTTTCTACCGACTGAGCTAACCTGGTGATACATCTATTAACTTAATGTATATATAAGGCATATGTTTGTTAATGCATATGCATAGGCATATTTATGCATATAAATGCTAATAAATATATAGGGCATATATATTCATAATTCTATTGTTTATATCGTTAAAGTATATATATTTATATATTTATATTTATATATATATATACATATAATATATGAAATATAAATATATATATGTAAGCAATATCTCACATAGGTACTATGTTGTGTACTACATTTCATGACTATATATTTTTCTAAATATATATACAGGATATTTGTGTATATAAAACGATCATCATACAAAATACCCACGTACATACACATATATACAAGTAAACACACATTCACACGCACATACGTGCTGTGTATGTATATATAAGATGATCATTATTCTTTCAAGTTAGTGGCTTGCAAATCAACTTGTTGTGTTGTTGTAAGAACTAAATAGATGAATGAATGTGAATGAATGCACCAGAGTGTTTCACTGTTTGGTAAGTCGTGCGTTGTTATATCTGTCTACGTGTTACATTTACATGCATGCTTAATGTGGTTTTGTGGAATTGAAAAATATTTGGAATCTGTGGTGAAGTTTTTGGCAAAATTTTTAACTCATCTGTTTTTTAAAATGAATTAGATTGGTTTCTTTCTATTAATATGGGTGAATCGTGTTGAGATGTTTGCTTAATTCATTTATTATTGAAGCATTTTGTTTTCGCTGATAAATTTACACATCTGATTCATTGTTTTAACTGTTAATACTTCTTTCGTTATGATGATTAATAGATCGCATATCTATCTCTATTTATAAACGCTACGTACACTGTCAGATTGAAATATTAACGTTACTCGTCTTATTAATCATTATCACAAATCCATTAAACGAGATTAACGTATATATTTTTTTCAGATTTTAACAAAATTAACTTGAAAATTTTTTTCTAAGTAAAGAAGACGACCGAAATTTGGGAAATATATGGTAATTAGCAAGAAAATAGAATAAATAAATTGGAAGAAATTGATAAAAATGTCAGCAGTACAAGACGACGATGATTCCAACGTACCGACTTACACATCAGCCTTTCCACCGCTACTAACAAATGGAAAGCCAGAAAATGAACACGTTGTTAGGTCATGGGAGAATAAAAATAACTTGGCTGTCAGGTCTTCAACGATAACTCAGGTTTCTATTTATTTATTTATTTATTAAATTGACTTATTTGTTGCTTTTAAGAAAGGAAAATTACGTAAAATGTAATTAAATTACCAAAGTAATCAGCCAATAATTTCCATTTTCACGTTATTCTTCCAAGGTTTTATCGCTGCCGCTAGAAGAGAGGCAGTACAAATCCTACTCCAATGGTAACGTATTTGGAAAGCAATCGAACCTGGCAAAGATATGCAATGATATTATGCTGAAGACAAGTCAGTCTAAATTCTGACGATCAATTTTGTTCATTTTAAAAGTTTACTAACCTATAAAAATATTAAAAATCTCTCAGATGTAACAATGGAAAGAAGTTTTTCAAAAGATAAATGCCTGACCATCATCATAACAGGCAAACCAGATAGCGTACAGCATGCAAAAAAGCAGCTCACGGCTAAACTAACACCTCAGGTTTACACTTTAACACAAAAATCAACATGTTTAAGACTGTATTTGGATAGCACAATTGTAGACAAAACATTAAAAACCTCGGCAGGTAAGCATTTCAATCCAAATCCCAAAGGAACATTATCGTTACTTGCTGGGAGCGCACGGAAAAAAGTTGGCCCAAATAGAAGTGGACACCTCAACGAAAATAACCATCCCATCCCAGCAGAGTACTTCAGATTTGGTGACCATTGTCGGCACCAGAGACGGCGTTGAGAAAGCCAGACATGAATTGCAAATGATTTCCGACGAACAGGTCTAAAAACACATTTAAGTTCTATATTCGCTACATCTAATACAATGAGTTACCAGAGTGGTAAAATTCTTACTTGACCGAGTTGAAAATCAAAGAGATTCCATTCTATTATAGGTAGCGTACAATAACTAGCTTGATACGCTCGTATTCACGTACGTGCAATGTGTTATTGTACAAGTGTAATAAACTATATTCTTAATTACAGCGAGGATTAAAATAAGATTAGTAACTGAACCTCCAAAATTTAATAACGTGTATTACTAAACCACACAAACAAACAAATCCAGGCAAAACTGGCTTCCACGACACTTAACATTCCTCGCGAGTTTCACGCCTTCATCAACGGGCCCAACAACGAAACTTACAAACAACTTGTCAACAAGACTGGGGCCAAAATCGTCATCCCATCTCTTTCGTCCGGAAAGGATGAGATTTATGTATCCGGAGGTAAAGAGAACGTGGCAACTGCGATCGAAGATATCAAGCGGATTTACGAAGAAAAGGTTTTGTAATTGATAATAACGTAATGTAACTGTTACTTTATAAATATATGAAATGTTTTTGCGATTTGTAAAGTTTGACATTTTTCCTTTATTAGTAGTTAATTCGCATCTTTTTACGTGTAATTCGTTTGAAAGTTTAATCGTAAATTTGCGATCAATAGTCCGCCAAACTACACAACTACAATTTATAACCTCAAATGCTCTAAATAATACAATTTGAATCCGAATGTACAAAAATCACGTCAAGTAGCTAACTATATTTAGTTATTAAATTCCTCACTAAACTTCTCACTGACTCAACCACTTTAGTTAAATTGACTATTTGACGTCTGCAGAAGCGCACCTGTAAAACGATATCAGTGGAAGTTCCGAAATCTCAGCACAAATATATCATCGGCTCGCACGGAAACCACATCAATGAGATCTTCAAAGAAACAGGTGTCTACATAGAAATCCCTCCCCCTAACTCACTATCTTCCACAATTACTCTTAGAGGAGATAGTGATAAACTGGGAGTGGCTCTTACTTCTGTTTACGAAAGGGTTATTATGGTGTTTTAGTATTTTTTCTTTTGCATAAATCGTTTTTTAGTCTAAGAAGTAAATTAATTTTTGGTAAAAATACAACTACAATTAATTTTTTCAAAGTTGTTAACTAGACGCACACAGCATTTGTATTTGAATACTTATTACTTATTGAAAGATAAAATTCCGCCATCCTTAAATTGAAATGTCGGATAACAGGCGAACAGTATGTCATTTAGAGAGATCAATGTTCCCAGTTGGTTGCACAGGTTCATCATAGGGGCCAAAGGAGCCCACATCAAAAAGATTAACTCCGAATTTCCAAAAGTAATTCTTTCCAACTTTCAGACATTTATTCTTTAACTTTTTAATATTAAATACAAATATACTAATTATTATTATTATTATTATTATTATATTATAATTATATAATATAATATAATAATATAATTAAATATTAATTATAACGTAAAATAATTTTTTATTATTTCAAACGAAAGGTGCACATAGAGCTGAGCGATGACACGATAAAGATTGAAGGGCCGACCAAAGAATGCGAACAAGTGGAGTATGAAATTGGGAACGCCGCTAAAAATCTGGTTGGTGACGACGAAGGAGAGGAAGAATAGGATGATGATGATGATGAAGAAGATGATGATGGAGATGATGATAATGATGACGATGGTGATTAAGATGATGATGATGATGATGAAGAAGAATTAAGCAAGTTAGCTAGGGCAATAGGGCAATGTCATTTCTCGCACTGTTATCTGGCGATGGCCCGTTTCGAATGGTGTCACTCCGAAACTCCAAAATTTGTATGTAGCTTGATGCAAGTGTGTGTATATGCGCCGTGTGCTGTGAATGTTATACACGAGTGTGTATGTACGTCGTTGGCCGTAGTGTGGTGTGTATGTCGAAAATATAGATGACGACGATGAGGATGGTAATGATGATGACGACGACGATGATGATAATGACGATGAAGGTTTTAATTACGATGGTACTTAAAAAGGACAAATTTTTCAAAATTTTTTTTTTAAATGGCGAACTTTCAATCGTTTTGCTCTTGCCAGATGTCCAAGATGGCCTTTGTAGAAATTGTCATCAGTGGAAAACACGCCTACGACATTCAAAAACTTAAAACCGCTGGTATATTTGAAATATTTAATTAACAAATTTACAAATAATCTTATTATTTATTATATTTTTTTTAATCGATAAATTTTCAAAATAAATTTATTATTTCATTTATTTGTAAACAGTATCACGAACAAAGACAACGGATACCAACGTCTCGATTCGCTCTATAATTCGGGATGACGTCACCGTCCTACGCATCGAAGGCCACCCAGAAAGCGTGGCCAGTGCGAAGGTCAAGGTCGTTGAAATGCTGGAAAAACTTGTAAGCCTATTCATAATATTAATTAGCTTATAAGGGCGTTTATCAAATGGCCTTGTTTTATTATTAATCTTCTTTTATAAATAACCTTGTTCTATAAATATCTTAATTCTACAAACAGCAACGATTAATTATGATAATTATATTCAAATTTCAATAATTAATTAACTAATTAATTAATTTTCAATGTAGGAAAATGAGGAGACTAAAGAAATAACACTGGACCACAAACTGCATAAAAAAATCATCGGTCAGAACGGGGAGCAGATTAAACAGATTAGTTCCAAGTCAGTTATTATTATTATTATAGTTATTATTGTTGTTGATATTATTGTTGTTGTTATTATTATTATTACTACTACTACTGCTGCTGCTGCTGCAAGTACGCTGCTACAGCTACTTCTGTGGCTCTAACCGCTACTGCTTCTACTACTACTGCTGCTGTTCCTATTGTTATTACTGTTAATACTACTACGATTGTTATTATTATTATCATTATTACCAAGTATCAATAGTATTAATAATAATAATAATAATTATTATTATTATTATTATTAATAATTATTATTATTATTATTAATTATTTTTAGATTTCCAGATGTGTCGATCAATTTTCCTCCGGCCATTAAAAAAGGTAGTAACTTCGAAGATTTTTAGCACAGTATCGTGTCTAGTAATACTAATTTCATATTTTATTATGGCGAAAAATGGACGTTATAATTGACTCGTCTGAACTTCTGTTTGCAGAGAGAGACCGAGTTCGATTGCATAAAGATCCTCAACTATTTTACTCATTAAAAAAAGTGTACATATGATTCGCCGGTTGTTGATAATACATAAAAACGAATGTAAACTGTTACTGCTTATTCATTCATTCATTCATTCATTCATTCATTCGTTTGTTCATTCATTTATGCGTTCGTTCGTTCATTCATTCATTCATTCATTGGAAAAAGAATTTTTGAAACAATTTTCATCCTAGGTGATATAGTAACGCTAAAAGGTCCTAAGCAGGAAGTGGACTTGTGCTGCAAATACTTGGAAATCTTTGCACAGGACTTGGCAAGTGATGATAATGATGTTTCCGATGATGATTATGATGTTTCCGATGATGATAATGATGATCATAATAAGGAATGGTCATAACGTTATGAGTTACTAGCAATGTTTTGAAATAAAAATGTTGATGATGATAAAGATGATGACAATGGCTATTAATAATATCATTATTTATAATATTTGTAATTATTATTATTTATTATTATTATTATTATAGGTAAATAAAAATTATAAAGCCGAACTGAAGGTAGAGAAAGACCACCACAAATCAATCATTGGCAAGGGAGGAACTCGCATTTCAAAGGTTATCCAGATAAATAAACCTTCCGCTTGGTCGGCTGATTGATTGATTGATTGAATGAATGATTGATTGGTTGGTTGATTGATTGATTGATTGATTGATTGATTGATTGATTGATTGATTGATTGATTGATTGATTGATTGATTGATTGATTGATTGATTGATTGATTGATTGATTGATTGATTGATTGATTGATTGATTGATTGATTGATTGATTGATTGATTGATTGATTGATTGATTGATTGATTGATCGGTCGATTGATTGATCGGTCGATTGATTGATCGGTCGATTGATTGATCGGTCGATTGATTGATCGGTCGATTGATTGATCGGTCGATTGATCGGTCGATTGATTGATTGATCGATTGAAAGATCTGTAAAGAAACCGAAACTATGGTGGAATTCCCGAAGCCCGGATCCCCAAGTGACGTCATCGTCATTCGAGGCCACAAAGACAACGTGGGCAAAGCTGTGGAGGAAATTAATAAGATATACAAAGAATTTGTTAGTATTGAAAATTTATTTTAAAAATCCGTTTTAAATATTTTTTGGCAAATATGAATTTTCGAAAACGGAGAGTATTAAAAAATAGTAAAGGCCGGTAGTTCTAGTAAAGGCCGGTAGTTTAGGTTACACGATGCACTGATTTACGTGTTGTAATTTTGAAATTTTCTCTTAGAATTATTATGAAATCAGATCGAACTTTCAAGTTGGAGAGAATTGAATTAAATTTATTGTTTATGTATTTATTTATTTATCATCAAATTTAATTTAATTTGAAATTTGTCGTAATGTTAATAAATTTTATGATGCACTGATAGTAATTGAAGGTTTTCTCTTAGAATTATATGAAGCTCGAACTTTCGAAATTAAATCGAACATTCAAGCCGGAAAAATGGGATTAAAATTAATGTAAATATTAATAAATTTTGTTTTCTAATTTAGGAAAACCTAGGAGAAATGACTTTAGAAGTGCCGGTCAAATACAAGGCTAAACTGGGCTACCTTTCCAAAATTTCAACCGCAAGTGGTGTCAGTTGTCGCGTGGTTTTCCCACAAAATTTGCTGTTAAGAGGAGACAAAGGGGCCGTCGCCGAGACGAAAGAACATATCTTGAAAGTGATTCAAAATATGGTTCGTTATCTCAATTACCTACGTTCAATTTTATTCATTCGTTCGTTCATTCACTCATTTATTCGTTCATCTCTTTATTCATTCGTTCGTTCGTTCGTTCATTCATACGTTTATTCACTTATTCAAATAAATGTTAGTTATTTTTTTTATTAAAAAACGAAATAAATGTGATTATAGAATGGTCAACATTTGCAATAGTTTTCCTAATTAGGGAATTTTCTGCAGGACTCGCAGATTGTTCTGGAATGGAGAGTACCCCAAAAGTACCACAGATTTGTTTTGGGCACGAAAGGTCAAAGAGTTCAAGAGGTTACTAAAAAGTTTGAAGTCGACATCAAAGTTCCGAGTAGAAGTTAGTCAGCCAATCATAAACGTTGTTTTGTTTAAAATTTCCTATGATTGGTTGATTATATATACTTATTTTGATAACTTATTTGTGATTGGTGGGCTACTTAATGGTTAAAAGTTAGTTAGCCAATCGTTTTTGTCGTTTGTTAAGCACCTCATCAGACTCATTGCACGTGATAGGTGAGGGTAAGCCATGCATTTTAACAATTACACCATGGCGCCTGTAAAAACTTTTACTCTGTTTCATTTTTTAGGGATCACACCAGTGACATCTGCGAGAAAATTCAAAACCGGGAAGAGTAAGAAGTTGAAGAGTTCTCCAAAAGAGGAGAAAACAATTGAAACATCTGACCATGACGTTAACAATAATCACATCAACTCCGACAACAATAACATTACAAATGATAGCAGTGTTGATGTTGCTAGCAGAGTGGAGCCAAACAAAAACACTGATGACGATGCTAATGATGAAGGCAGTGATGGTAATCTGCCAGGCGACAATGCAGAAACTGCCGGTAGAGATAGCTATGATAAGAAGGATGATGAGGAAGAGAATGGTGGCGATGATAGAAATGGTGGTACTACTACTGCTGCTGCTGTTGCTACTACTGCTGCTGCTGCTGCTGATGACGACGACGAATCTTCAAAAGTTAAAGATGATGATGTGAAAGTTGATGGTGACGACAGTAATGACGTCATTTCAATTATTGGTTTGCCTAGTAACTGCGAAGCGGCCAAGAGAGCTTTGAGTGTAAGTTGGATATTTTTCAATTCGTTGGCTCGTTCATTCATTCATTCATTCATTCATTCATTCATTCATTCATTCATTCATTCATTCATTCATTCATTCATTCATTCGTTCGTTTGTTCGTTCGTTCATTCGTTCATTCATTTACCTTAATTTTTTTCTACCACAGGAATTCATTCCAACGACCATAGAACTAACAGTCCCATCAGTACACCATAGACAGTTAATCGGACAGAAGGGTGCAATTATTCAAAAGTTCATGAAAGATTTCTCGGTAGCCATAACTATACCCCCGGCAATCACGTGCTCTGACGTCATCAAAGTTGAAGGTCGACCCGCCGATGTCGAAAGGGCAAGGGAGGCCATTGAAAGAAGAGTGCAAGAATTGGAAGAAGAGAAAAAATTAAGGGTAGGCCCTCTTTTCAGTGTTTTTGACTTTTGATCTTTGGGTTTTTGAGTAAATTGGTCCTCTGTGTAAGTTAGTTTTGGTTTGCTGTTAAATGTTTGCCGGCGAAATTGTTTCTGGTGCATTGAATTGTTGGTGAACATTTATAAATAAATATTAATTTTATTAATTATAATTAATTAATTAATTAACTTATCTATTTGTTTTTAATTAATTTTATTGTTTTAATTCGGGCAATAAAATTGAACATTTTCAAATCAAACTGCATTTTGCCAGAAGTTGAAAAGTTTTAAGATAGAAATTGAAATAGAACCAATCTACCACACGAAAATAATTGGCCGAAACGGAGGCGTGGTTAACAAAATCAGGGACCAGTACGATGTCAGGATCCAATTTCCGGAAAAAAATTCGACCAATCAGAATGTTATAACCATAATTGGTTTGGAAGCTGCGGTGAAGGATTGTAAAGAATATATCCTGAAAAAGATTAAGGAAATTGTTAGAAAGGAAGATTTTTCATATTTTTTTCAAATTTACGGTTTTAATATTTAAATATTTTCAAATATTTCTGGATAATTCTCGATATTCATAAACAATTTTCAACATTTCTGAATAATTTTTGTATTTTTTTTTTCAACTATATTTTTGATACTTTTTGATATTTTCAAAAAAAATCGTTATTTTCATGCAGGAATCAACGGTTCATGAAGAACTGAGAATCGATAATCGGGTACATCCGCGAATAATCGGATCGAAAGGTCGGTCGGTTCACAAACTGATGGAGGATTTCAACGTAGATATAAAATTCCCCGCCAAGGATAGCATGGATAAGGACTTGATCGTTGTATCCGGACAGAAGAAGGATGTGGAACTGTGCTGCGACCATCTGATGAATTTAGAAGATGAATATGTTAGCGGCTGATTTTTTATGTTTGTGATGTTGTTGATATTGTTGTTTTTTTCTGTTGTTTTTGTTATTATTTTTGGTGACGTCATCGCCATTGTTATTTTCATTAAAATTTTATAGAAGATCACAAATAAAAAAAAACAGATCCAAAAAATTCTTGACGACGAAGTGATCAAAGAGTATAAGAAATCGGCCGCAACGCTCAACACTTTCTTCAACAACATCAACAACAACAACCACAACAACAACAACAACAACAACATGAAAGGTTTCATAGTAAGAGACGCTCCGTGGTCTAGAACATCAGCACCAACAGCCACAACAACATCGGCAACTTCGTCAGCAACTACTACAACTACTTCCCGGGGCTCAGCAACAGCAAAGACAGCAACAACAACGACAACAACTGCAACAACAACAACATAAACATTCAAAATAAACGACAGCAACAAAATATTGAGAATGATTCAAATCACGTTTCAATTCCTAACCAAAATCAATCAATTTGGGTCCAAAAATGACGTTTCTAGTATAAATTAGTATACATATATACACTTTTCCTCACAAACACACGCACACACATAACATTATATACATATACGTTATTGTTAACAACATATTAACGAATTAATCAATTGTTTTATATTACAGTAAGATATTTGCCTTAATTCATCTATGTTACCTTGTTAACAATATATTTAGACATATTATAATGCATATATGATATATATATATATATATATATATATATATATATATATATATATATATCACGCCTATTTTTTATTGCAATGTTATTAGAGCTATAAATAGATTAAGCAATAATAATAATAATGTTTTTTTTATTATCCATATTGAATATTTACAATTAGTATATTTATGTAACGCGATACTATACGATATTAGTAATTTATTAATTTATGTAGAGCGCTCTTTACATTTTTATGAGCTTAGCTCATGTATGCTCAAAACTCTAATATTAATAGCACCTATAACAAATTTTTGCTTTTTTAGACTGGAAATCTCTGATTATAGCATATTATATTGTATACACATATTTATAATTTTTAAATTGTGCATTATGTTAATTTTATCATGAATTATAAATTTACTTAAAAATTGTGTTAGAATGAACAATTTGTGAACGGTGGCCTGCGACACATGAATTTTGTTTTCTTTTAGCTTTGGTCTCCTAATCATTACCTAATTATTATTAATTTGGATTGATTGAATAAAATTTGATTTGAATTTGATTTGAATTTGAATTTATAGGCATTTACATATAATCTCTATAATATCAAAAGGATGTCATCAATACAACTTTTTAAAGCATTTTTCAATGTGATGTTATTTAGAAAGAAGTGAAGAAAATACTCAATCATTTTCTCTTTTTCGTAAAATGAATATGCATATGTGTGTTTGTATGTGTACGTGTGTTTGTTTGTGCGTGTGTGTGTGTGTGTGTTTTTCATGTTTTACACTTTTAGTGCCATTGTAAAGAGTAAAGATAATGATATTAAAATTGTAATATTAATTTTTCATGTGATTATCTTTTAATCTTATACTGTTGATAGTTCCGTGTGTATTTGTACCACAGATATCGTGTATTTTAAATCGAATTTAGTTGAAATTAAACATTTACTTGAAATTTTGTTTTGTTCCAATATATTAACTTTGTTATTTGATGAAAAATCTTTTAATTATTTTGTTACTCTTTTATATTAAGTGTGATAAGGTTGAAAACATTTAGAGGTATAATAAAGTTATAATAAAAAATGTATTCTTAATTCAATTTTGATTGTTTAAAAATTTAATAGCAAAATGAAACACACGCCTCTAGAGTATGTAGATAGATGCCACAAAATTTATTCTTAAGAATTGAGCTATACACTTAAATTTTAACGTTGACTTGAAAGCATTATATCACCGACCGGCCAAAATCAATATCCATTTTTTAAGTAATGTTTTTTTGTATAAATATAATAAATATGTAACGCTAATACAATTAAGTGTATATAATAAAGGGTTTAAACTTTGTCTAATATTTATTTTCTGATAACAGTCAACAGCTGACGCTTTCCATACAATACCGATTGGCTTATATCCAGCAATTGTCGTTTGTCGTAGGTCATTGAAAACTTTGTAAAAATATTTACAAAATGTCGTTTTTGAGGCCAATTTTGAAATCAGGAATAGTGAAAGAATTAGTGTTTCAAAGGTTGTTATTTTAGTTATAAAAAAATCAGTTAAGCTATTTTCGGTAAAAAACTTTTCTTGACCGTTTTTCTCTTTTAATTTTTTTTTGGGCTTTTTTATTTTCCTAATATCAAATTTTTTAAATATTTGATAAAATGATTTTGTAGCTTTTTTTATTTTCAGATATGTGGCCACAACATGTCAGTTGAGAAGTGATGTGAAGTATGTTGCTGAAGTAATTGAAACTCCTAAGATTACCATTGAAGAAAAGGTTCCAGTTCTTATTTTTATTATAAAATTTTAAACAAATTATTTAGATTTAATTAATAAATTTATTTATTCATTTGTTCATTCCATCTGTCCTCTATTTTATCTATCCATTTATCTTGTTTAGATTTACTTATTAATCTTATATATTTGTTTTTTTATTATATTTTTCTAGGATAATATTTCTTCAATTAGTGGAATCCCAGAGGAACAGTTGAATAATCGTCAAGTTAGGATTTTCAGTCCAGCAAAGAATGCCATGCAGTCGGGGACATTCAAGACCAACAAGTGGTTCATGGAGTTTAATACACAAGAAAGATGGGAAAATCCATTGATGGGCTGGTGTTCAACGTAGGTTTTTTTTTATAATTTTTTTGTTTTTTAATTGTCTTTGTTGCTTTATTGTTTTTTTAAGTGGGGAAGGGAAGTTTTTTGTTTTTGAGTTTTTAATACTGTTTTTAAGATGACAAATTAAGTTAGTTAACTCATTTTTTAGGTCTTATTTTTTGATTGTTGGTCAACTGGCTAGTTGATTGATTGAGAAAATGAATAAATAAATGAATGATTTATTGAATAAATAAATGAATAAATGAGTGATAGAATAAACAACTAAAATCCTTATTTTTTTTAGTGCTGATCCACTCGCACAAATTCGACTTTCATTTTCTACTAAAGAAGATGCCATTGCTTTCTGTGAGAAAAATAGTAAGTATGATGATCATAATAATTACAATTAGAATAATAATAATAGGTATTATTAATAATTTCTATAATAGAATTAATCATGTTTGTATATTTGTGATTTTTTTTTAAACATACTCAATAATATTTTTTATTTATATCTCTCATTAATTTTCATATTATTGTTGTTGTTGTTATTATTATTGTTATTTTTTTTTATTTTCTATCAGATTGGAGGTATTCTGTCGAAGAGAAGCACAGCTTAAATTTGAGACCGAAGGTTTATGGTGACAATTTTTCATGGAACAAGAAGACTAGAGTTTCAACAAAATAAATAAATAATAATTATAATATAATAATAATAACAATAAAAATGATGATAATAATAAAAAATGAATAATGTTAATTGATGTAGTTGTTATTATTATAATTTATTATTATTATTAATATTGTAGTTGTCGTATTTTGTTATTGTTAAATATTGTCTCTAGTGTATCATGGTTGTTGTTGGTACTGCTAGAGATCGCTTATGTTGTTTTTATTGTTGTTAATACTTTTGTTATTATTATTGTTATTATTTATTATAATTTTTGATAATTTGTGTTACATTAAATAATATTTTAATGTCTCTTGGATGTTAAAAGAGTAATTTTATTCAAATTATAAAACAGATGAAAGGTAAAAATTTTGAAAGACATATATTGACGATGATGTTTAAAAAAAATTAATTTGTTTTTAAAAAAAAAATCTTTCGGAAAATGATGGTTAATTAATGAAATAAAATTTCTGTAGAAAGAAGTTCAGAAAGACGTTTAGTTAATTGTGTATACAATGCAGTAAATCGATTTGTGTTTGTGTGTGTGTGTGTGTGAGAGAGTTCTGGTCTTACATTTATTGTACTATAAATAGGTAGCAGTTGAATACCGTTTGCTTGCTGTCGCATGACGATCTGGGATTCGACGTTAAGTTAATTCCTCTACTAAAATTAGCCAGGCTAATTACTATTGTGTCTGTATATAGTTCAATTATTGTTTAAAAAACTGAATTTATCGGTGAACTTCGACTTGGTTGTGAAACAAATGCGAGTATAAGCAGGTAAAACAACATTCCCTCATCACAGATTCGTATTTACAGAGTTTCATCTTCAGTACGTTGTGACATCGCTTCGAGAGGTTATCGCATACTATAGGAGAATTAATTTATTTGTTAAGTAGTTTGCTAAAATTATTTGTCAATTTCAAAAATTAATTGATAGAACAATGACTAAATTATCGAAAAGTACACAGATTCTTGATAGATTGTTGTAGATTTTGTTGCATCATTTGATTTGAATTAAGATTTATTCAAGAGATGTCAATCACAACGCAACACGGCTTTTATATTTGAATCTAAGCGAAAATATATAAAATAAAATGTCATAAAGTATAATTTATGACTTACTATCGCATTTTCTGACGCAACTCATAGTAATCGGTGGCCTCTCCACAGAGTAACAATCACGTTCTTTAACCTTCGCTTCGCCTGAGAAACATGCCAAAGATGCTATTCTGAAGCCTTTTTTCCAGCATTTTCCGTAACACTTGAAACATTTTATAATAAACTTGAGTTAAAATGTTAATTTTTGTCATATTATTACACATTATTCCCATTTTTTTTCAAAGAGTTCAAAGGCGCTTTCAGCACATTAATTAGTAAAAAAGCAATGCAGAACTTGTTGAGAATGCGTTGCACGTATGGGAGATAACGTGTTGTTAAGATTGCTAAGCCTTTTTTGTAAAGGCAGATCGGTAGGTATGCTATTTTTCATTAAATTTACTTTAGTTTCAAGTTGGTTTAAATAGAAAAATAAAACAATTCACCTTACTCCATGACAAAATTCTCCACTGAGGTTTGCATGGAACTTGTTTGCAGATTTCTTCTGAATGAGGTTTCCTACCCTGGCACATGTCATCCGGGGCCAGCGTTGCATTCGTGTATTGGCACGTTACTGATCTGTTTCTCGAAACCGCTGCTGTCTCATTACACGTTTCGGAGGGGCACTGATGGTAAATGTAAATAGTTTAGGTATTTTTAAAGTATGAATTCAATTTCTAATATAGGTATGTTTATTATTTGTATTGCATTACATATCGCAATTATTACTTTGTTCGTCATTTTTCTATACAGTGCTCCAGTGATTGAACATTCATATCGTTTACGACAAAAAAAACATCAAATCTAACAACTTCACAATTTTTAAATCAATGTTGCAAGCAAACAAAAAAATTGACTGAACCGACCTGCGACCACTCTCCGACGAACCAGATTGGACATTCATGAAATCCACAATCCTGCGACTCCATTGGCTTCATCTGGTCACCCTCGATGCAATAATCTTCATGAATGGTCAGCATAAAAGACTCGAGGACAACGGCACATTGGATATCCCTGCTTTGAACCCCGTGTCCTCCACAGGGCAGAGAACAGCCACTCCAGACTGATGTAACGTATCGAATTGGTAGTTCGGCAGAATGTTGGTGGCGAAGTAACTTGAAGAACGTTACTGTACTTCGATATACGTCGTCGAATAGTTCTTTTGTGTTCGCGATGATTGATTGAAAATCATCTGGCGGGAGTAGTCCGAAATCACCGGCAACAATGTCCGCTTCAGAGTGGACATAGAGTGTGGTTGTGTAATTTTCCTTCGGCCTCCCACAAACGTAGCGACCCGCGTGGGTTCGTCCAACGTCCGTTATGTGTAAGAGGGGAGGATGTGGGATTTTAACGCTGGCACTCCTCGTAATAGTTTCATTGTCCTTTTTCCATTTTACGTTTTTGGATGTCGGGCAAAAAATTTTTAAACTACTACCGGGGAATAAGATGATGTTTGTACCGGCTTTTATAGAGATGTCACGCTTTTCTAACAGAATTAACAAATGATCGAATGGTCTCACTTTGAGAGGCGTGCAAGACCTGGTGATACATTCTTGAGAAGTCGGTGGTGACTCACCGGCTATCGATTCGGCGCATATCTTGTTGTCGATGATCTTCGAATCGAAATGAGATGTCCTAACCGAACATAGTATCAGTCGGTGTTGAACGCCTGGCCCGCACGTCGTCGAACACTTTTTAAACGGTAGAAATACAACATTAACAGGTTTTTTTCAAAAGCATAATTAAAAAATCCTAAAAATGTCAACTAAAGTTCGCTAAAATTTATTAAATTTATCTCCGGTAGATATAATAAATTAAGTATAAATCAATTTAAAAATCAAAAATCGATAAAAAAAAACCCCAGAAAAACAATATACTCATTAAGATAGACAAAACCTCACTTCAGACCAGGACCTGGCAAGCCATTCGGGCCTACAGGGAACATTTTCATTACACGGAATAACATTACTGGGTCGGAAAGTGGAATTACACCTGTGACGCGGTGCCACCTCGTCAAAATTGATCCTATCCGTGTACATGCACTCAACACGGCGGGAGATTATGCCCCCGATACACGTGCTCGAACATGAGGAGGAGTTGTCCGGCTGGTATGCTTTCCAACTGTTGTTAAGGTTCAATTTCTATGTATTAATTCGTTTATTATTGTCTATAACTATTTATAATTAATAATGTAATTATTATGATTATATATATATATATAACATACATTGGCGGACATCTTCGCGGGCTCCTACATATGACAGTTTTTATTGGTGGCTTTGTCAAATCAATGCAATGTATTTCGTCTACGTAATCACCGGTTCGGCGGTTTTGACAATGAATTATGCTGTCCTTATACCCTAAGAAGAAATATTATGTGCGTGTGTGTGCGTGCGTGCGTGCGTGTGTGTGTGTACGTGTGTGTGTGTGTGTGTGTGTGTGTGTACGTGTGAGTGTGCGTGTCTCTATGATACTATTAAGGTACCCTAACCTTCACCACAAACGACACTGCAATTGGTGTATCCGGCTGAAATCCAGGCGTACAAATTCACGGTCTGAGCCATGGAGGTGGTGGTAATAATTGTCGAGAATGAAAGCGTTAGTAGTAGCTGTAGTAGCAGTAGGTGCGACTGATGTGGCTGCTGGTGGTGGTGTCGTTGTTGTGGCTGTAAATGTTTACATTGTTCATGTAGATTTTTGTCTTGCTGATGTTGTAGTTGTTGTAGATGATGATGCTGTTGTTGTTGTTGTAGATGATGATGATGTTGCTGTAGAAGATGATGATGGTGATGACGACAATGATGATGTCGTCGATGTTGTGGATGGTGATGATGAGGATGGTGACGCGGCAACAAGAATTGACATTTCTTCTTTTTGAAGATTTTTCGAAGAGGCTAATTGAAATACGTAAAAAGATAATGTCGCATTTTCTCAACTAACACTTTTTAAATACTAATAAATACTTATTTTTGACACACACAAACACACACGCACAAACACACACGCACAAACACACACGCACTCTCAACACGCACACAAACACGCGCACACATACACACTTATCTAACAATAATAAAGATAAGAAATAAATTTTAGCGATCTGCTTATGATTATTATCACATGTTATGCAAAATTATCTACAAACACACACACTCACACACACACACATATATATATATATATATATATATATATATAACTATATTTTATACGTAATAATATCAACTTAACATATTACATGCTTGTATTTATGTCTATGTTTGTAGACAATTTTTGAACTTCCATATAATTATTATTTTTATTAATATTATTATATTGTTGTTATTATTGTTATTATTATTTTCCTCGCTATAATTATTTTATTGTTTTTATTTATAATTATATTCTCATTATTATCATCATCAATATCTATATTAAACTATATAAGCGTCTATTGCATTAAAAAAAAGATCAAAGACACAATACTACTATTACTACTACTACTACTGCTTACCACTCTTACTACTACTGCTGCTGTTACTACTACCTACAACAACAACTACTACTACCAACAACAACAACATCTACTACTACTACTGCGACTACTACTGCTACTACTACTACCACTACTACTACTACTACTACTACTACTACTACTACTACTACTACTACTACTACTACTACTACTACTACTACTACTATTACTACTACTGCTTCTACAGCCAATAGTAGTAGTAGTAGTAGTAGTAATAATAATAATAAATACTATTATTATTGTTATTATTATTATAGCAACTTACTAACATCAGAGTGTGACATTATTATCCGATTTATATATATATATCCAAAAAGTAGTGATGAATGAATGAATGAATGAATGAATGAATGAGTGAATGGTGGAGTAATTGAATAAATGAATGAAGGATTGATTGATTAAACAAACGACCGAATAGATACATTAACTACATTCTAGATCAAAAAATTATTCTCTTTAATCCCTTTTCATATAATTAAAACTAAATTGAAAATAACAAACTTTATATGAATAAAAAAATATATTAATTAATTAGAAGAGCAGCTTTCAAATTCAGCCGAATGTTAAATACATGAATGAATGAAGGATTGAACAAATAAATGAATGAACGAATGAATGAACGAACGAATGATTGATCGATTAATGCTAGCAGTAGAGTTAGTTCACTACTTAACGATACATACGTGATTCTGTTTTGCACAATTTAAATGGAAAAACTCTTAAGAATGTCGAGTTTTTAAAAGACTTCAAGTAAATTGAAGTAGTTATTTGGTGGTTGCACGCACACACATACACACGCACACACACATTAATGAACAAACACGCCGCACACAATTGCTAGTTAGTTAAGAGTTTGAATTCTTATCTAGTTAAGATTGCCTGAAATATAAATCAATAAGATAGCGAAAAAATTCCGTATTTAACGTTCTTTCTCTTTCTTTCACTCAATCTCTTTTTTCTTTCTTTTCAACTCGTATGTCTGTCTGTCTCCATGCTTCTATGTGTCCGTATATTGCTTTGTATTAGTGTGTGTGATGGTATAAATACGCTTGTTTGTCTGCATATCTGAATCTCTTTTAATGTTTGTAGGTATTTATACGTAACTCTATATATGTTTCTGGACGAATATGTGTATATGTGTGTACATGCATGCATGTATGTGTGCATCCATGTACGATTGCATTCTCGACGACTGTCTCTTTGCAATGCATCTTATGTCAAGGGATTTTAATGATAAACAACGAATAGAGGAGAAAACTTCCAACCAGCTAGCTAGCAGACGAGATAAAGGATTTTATTATTATTCCGTGGTTACTGATTTTTATTTATTTTTCTTTATAAAAAACGAAAAAAAAAACAATAAACAGAAAAACAATACCATAATTGTAATATAATATAACAAATCGCCGCTAAGCAATCATAAATAATTATCATTCTCCAATTAAAAAAAGGCTTAATTGAAATGATCATTTTCTATTTACAGAACATTTTTTTTACACTTTTTTTTCATTTTTTGCAATAATTCTTGTAAACTTAATTCGGAAAAAGGACAAAAAATTAGTAGATAATCAAAAAATAAACATACATAGAATCGTAACAGAATGAAACTTACGAGAAAAAAAAATCTATTCCTAAGTGTGAATTGATCCCTGAAAAAATGAATAGAAAAATTACATAATATATTCTTTTATCCTCTCTTTTATTCTCTCATTCTCTCTCCTCTGTCTCTCTCTCATTCTCTCTCTCCTTATTGCTCTCTTATTCAAGTGGTGTCTTGTAGAAAAAGAGAAACATTACCCCTGCAAATGAACGTAACGATCGACAGTATCAAATCATTAAATAAATCAGTTGGCCGTAAAAGCTGATATGCAATAGATACAAACATACATACACGCATACACACACTCACACACACACACACACACACACACACACACTCACATACAAACACGTACACACACACACGCACGCACACACACAACACACATATATACCCACATACACACGGACACAATACATACATACATACATACAAACACACATACAAACGCACTAATCAATTATAAATAATTATAATTAAGTAATAATAATTAATAATTATAACAAAAATAATAATCTTTTTTACTATTTCCTCGTCATAATTTTGAGATACTGTAAGGCGTTGTGGGCTGCGTCGGTGTGAGCATCATCCTTACATTCACCAGTCCCATGGCAAATGGCAACCTTCAATTTCGAAAGCTGTACTAGGCACTGACACTCGCCTGGAAGAAATGTTTAAAAGTTAATTAATTAAATTAATTACTTAATTAAGAAATTAACTAAAAAAATTAATCAATTTATAACATTTATTTGCATCAGCGCTAATCTAACCCTTAACAGTAAGCTCTGGAAAATCGATATACAGAATTTCGAATTGTTCTTCTTGACCAACCATCTCCAGAATGTCATGGTAGTTGATTGATTCAGTGTTTAGTGATAGAGTCTGCAGTGAGGCTAAGGTTTTACCTGGTTTCTGCCTCAACTTCTGGTAGAATCGTGCTATCTTCTGACTGAAATTAGGAGTTAGATTAGGCAGACGTGGGGCTGATTTTAATTTGTCGTATATCTCTTCGACGAGATGCTAGATTGGTGGTGGGTGAGATGGAAAGGTCATCAATCGGTTCATCGGCGGATAAATTGATTCATTGATTCATAAATACGAATAAATAACAAAAAATAAAAAAAATAAATTTTACCAGGGGAACTTTATGTGAGGGTGGAAGATGGTTGAGGTTCATCTTGTTAACCTCAGAGGGTAAAATACTCGATGAATTATTACTTTTTGACACTTCATCACTACTACCATTAGATAACAAACTCTCGTTTATAATATTTTGTCCTTTAAGCATGCCTAACAGCTTAGTTGTTGCATCTCGTTTGGCTAACTTTTTTGAGGAGCCATAGCCTGAAATTAGTCATCGGTGAAGATAGAGATTTGAAAATTGTGAAATTTATAAAAACTTATTAGAATATATTAATATTATTCTAATATTATTAAATATCTTTGGCACCTTTCATGGAATATTTCATCAAGGAGACAGTACAGTTGAACAGTTTATGATGTGGCTGGCCCTTCTCCAATGAAAACTCGTAGATAGGTGGGGACCACAACATTTTTTGGCTCAGTTCCTGAACTTTCCCTATTGGATTGGAGTACTGTGGTTCTTCATTTAAGCTGACAAAAATTTAAATATTAAAATAATTTATAGATAACTTTTGACTGAGATATTTATTTATATAATGAAAAACAGATAAATGTTAATGATTATTGTACAAAATTACCACTAATTTATTTACTTGTACCTGTTAGTTGATAGGCAAGGACTGACTGAATGTGGCTTCAACATTAAGTTCAGCATTTCAAGGGCTACATTATGCTTGGCTTGCTTCTTGCTGGATCCTGGGCAACATTTTACGCAAATGTACATTAGATGTAATGATTGCATGGTTTGAAATGTATAAATATACTATTATAATTTAATTTTAATACATTGTAGGATTTCTCAGTGTCAGGGGTTTCATTTCAGGCAAGCAGTCTAATATTTTGGTTTAGTCAGGTCTCAATTGACATTTAAAAAAAAAAAGAATAAACATGAAATAAATTATATTTCATGTACAACTCATGTAAAGTTTGTAAACAATAGAAAAATAAGAAAAATCTAAGAAAAATTTGGAAAAAACTATATATTGTTCTGTGAACCAAACAATAATTTATAATTATATATAATTTGTAATATTAATGGCAAATGGGTAAAAATGTAAAATAAGAAAACTTTTAAGAAAGAATAATGAATGAAAACGAAAAAACCTGAAGCCGATATATTTAGGTGGCCGGCCTTAAGAACGTATGTGAATTCAGGCCTATGCAGAGGTCCATCATTGGCCGCCAATTCATACTCGATTTTCAGACCTTTCTTTGCACAAATTTCCTGCAGCAAAGTTACCGGAGTTTTATGAGACAAATTGCTAGAATCATTTTCGCTCATATTACTACTAACTATTAGTAAATTAGTGTTAATTTATATAGCATAAAACGCGCGAATGAATTGGTTTTTAAATTCTCTTACAAACGTTAGATACCTCGGACACGCATAATAAATGGGCAAAAGTGAATTGTGAAGTGCAAAAAAAATTAAAAGTGAATTGTGATGTAAATATATCTTCGGTGAACTTGTTGGATGATCCGAGACTAAAAATTGAATAAAAATGGAGTTTAGCAAACCGATCTCTAGAATTGAAAGGAACAAGTACGCGTTTTTAATTCATTTACCTTTCTTTTTTAGTAACGTTATATTAGATTTTGTTTTTAAATATCAGTAGTAATAATAAACTAGTTTAAAAAAAATTAAATTTAAAATTAGTAGCACATGTAGTGTAGTGTAGTGAGTACGATTAGTTAGTTAGATTAAAAAAAGTTAGGGAAAAACTTGAAGTTACTAATAACCACACTAATAAAATAATCATTATTAATTTTTTAGAAAAACTAACAATCTTCTAAACTAAACATTTTTTTAAATTTCAAGTGATCTTAACGATGAATTGATGGTACTGAAGGAGATATATTTGGAGGAATTGTCAGTTGAAGAAATTAATGAGTTAGACAGGATATTTTTAACTTATTCTTTGTTAAATAAAATAATATTTTATAATGGAAATTAAATAATTTAGTTAGATTGAAATAAATTTTACAAAATAGTTACTGATATTGATCATATTAATTTTTATTTTTTATTCAGTAAATTCATTTATTTATTACTTATTGTTAATCATTCATTTATACTTAATATAAAAATAATTAAATGAAGTTCCCAAGCTGATCGTATTTGCCTTGTTAAACTACCGATACACCCAGCCACTGGCGAACACATAGATAGGAGGTGGGTGTCGATAACTCTCAACGTTGCTCTTCCTAATGAAGTAACCTAAAATTATTTTTGTTTTTTTATTAATAATATAATATATTTTTGTTAATTTATTTTCGACATTATTAATTATTTTATCCATTATTTAGCTATTTGAAGATATATTTTTAATCTAAACTCACTTTTCTCACCGACAGTACCCAAATGTTGTACCCAAAATTCATTTGACACGTCCTAGAGGTATATCAGAGGAACATTATAACAGGTGTAATGTGTGTGCGTGCGTGTGTGTCTGTTTATCTGTTTTCATATCTTCTAAAAAATAGCTGAGAAACAATGATATTGATATACAATTAAAGAAATTATATAGCTATTTGTTGGTTTAATTTATATAATTAGAATTTTAAAGTTTTAATTTTTACATTTTTTTATGTTTGCAGTTTACAAGCCAGTCTCGACAATGTTGCTCAAGAAAACATTGGTCTTCCTATGCTTTATAATCTTTTCGAGGTCTTTCTTCTTTTTATAGGGAATGAAATTTTATTTTATTTTATTTTGTGTTTACAATTAATCATGTATCTTTATTTGTTTTTATCTTTATTTATTTTACGCATATTTATTTTTTTATTCTCATGTTCATTTGATACTTGAGCCATCAATTTATTTGCACTGAAAAATAATTGGAAATACTTAACAAATTAATATTGATCCATACATTTCACACACAAGCATATTAATCAACACACAAACACACACACACACACATACTAACACACTCACAGCATGCAAAAGACAGTTTAACAAACAACAACATGCCATCTACGCATTGTACGATATGCATGGACTCCTTTCGAGAAAATCCAGACTACGAGAACCAGAACAATCCCAGCAAGGAAAACATTGAAAAGAAGCATAGAACCTTTATAAAAACAACCTGCTATCATTATTTCCACGTTCGATGTCTTTGGAGATATAAAACTTTTTTAGAAGATGCTCTAGCTGCTGAACGATTAAATCAGCCCAGCACTAGTTTTCATCATTTTAACGGGAATTCCCAACCTAATAATAGATGTGATGAGGTAATGTGGGATTGATGGGGATGGGCTATTTTTAGAATTCTGATGATAATGGTTATGGTTATGATTGGTGATGATGATAGAATTAAATATATTTATTTATTATATATTTGTTTATTATTAATAATCAATTAATTAATTATTTCATAATTTTAAATAGATGGCCTGCCCAATATGTAGATACGACATATCAACTGATCTTAAATCTCTCAACAACTACAATCTGCATTGTCGGCAACAAAAACGAAGCAGCAAACGCAAAGATAATAATGATGTTAATATGAGTGGTGAAGATAATGATGACGACGATGATAATTTCGTTTACAAGCCTTCGGAGTATATCACGAGACTGCAGAAGAAAATGAAACTTCTATATGAGAAGCAGAAGAAACAAGGTTTTGTTATTATTATTATTATTTATTATTCGTCATTATTATCATTATTTGTTATTATTATTGTTGTTATTATTCATTATTTTTTCTTTCTTAGGAGGCATCATAGATTTGGAAGAAGAGAGAAATAAGTATTTGATACCGGCTAGCCAATCACAGCCAGACCTCAGCCTCATGAATAGTTATGAGAATAACAATATTGCTAATGCTGATAGTAACAATTTCAATGTTAATCGTACTAATATTTCAGCTACCGCTACTAGCTATATTAATAATAATACAGTTGGTTGATTGATTGGATTGATTGATTGATTGATTTATTAATTTGATTGATTGATTGATTGATTGATTGATTGATTGATTGATTGATTGATTGATTGATTGATTGATTGATTGATCATAGCATATATAAATATATAAATTATTTATTTATTTTTTCACGTAATATATAACATATTAATATAACATCATTCATTTATTCAATGTTCTTCTGCTCATCAACAAAATGGGCACTTGGTCAGTTAACAAACATCTGTACGTCACGCTGTGGCTATAAATAAATAAATGTATATTTCTGTATGTCTGTGTGTGTGTGTGTGTTTGTATATGTGTGTGTGTTTGTATATGTATGTGTGTTTGTATATGTATGTGTGTTTGTATATGTGTGTGTGTTTGTATGTGCGTATGCGTTTGTATATGTGCGTGTGCTTTATGAGGTGTAAATTATGTAAAACATTGATCCTTTGATTACAAAACGTAAAATCATTTATTACAATAAAGTAAATCGATGATTACAAAATGTAAAATCATTTATTACAATAATGTAAATCGTTGATTACAAAATGTAAAGAAGAAGTAAATGAGTTACGAACCTCGGATTGTAAGACAGTGGCGACCTATACGCTCCTTCGAAAGATGGCAATTCAGCTAATAAGTTCCAGTCAGTAAGTTCCAACGTTGTCTTCTAATAGGAAGATAAATTTTTCCTTGATGTAGCGCAAAAAAAATTTTTCCGAAATAAAACATCGTTTCTTACCCCTTTAAATAGTGACGGATCGCCGGTGTCGTCGATATTCATATAAGGATTGACCTCCGGTTCGCTTATCGGTTCTACTTGCGTGAAAATGCCATCGCCGGATTGTAAATACGTATATTGATATTTTTATTATAATTTTTTGGTAAAATGTCTTTATTTATTTATTTATTTATTTGCGTAACAGTTCGATTGTTTACAGGTTCATTCTTCCGGGTACACGTATTGATGTATTTATATTTAAAATTATTTGTATTCAATGGATGGATAGATGGATAGATTTTTTTTTCATTTGTTCTAAAATTAACCAGAATTATGAAAAAATTTGCAATGAAAAACACTTATCCAGATATGCAGGCAGTTGAAATCCATTTGTTGCGTCATGTCAAATCCAGTTGGTATCAATAATTCGCCATCTTCATTGCAGTTGTTGTGCTGTTTGTTAGCGCTGTCGTTGGTACAGGGTTGTATGTCCTTTTAATTAATTGAATGAGTGAATTAGTTAATGGATGAATGATTGAATTGATCAATGATTGAATTGATCAATGGTTGAATTGATCAATATAATAGATGAACGAATGATCGATTGATTGAATGAATCGATAGATGAATGATTTACTGATTGGATGCAGAAATAAGCGAATGTATGAATGAGCACGTGAAAATGACTAAACGAAAGTACAAATGAAAAACCGACAACTGACTAACTAACTGAATGTATAATGAATGAACAAACGAATAAATAAATTTATAAATAATATAAAGAAATTATCTTATTTAGAACAAACTTCAAGGTATGGATGAAAAGCAAATTGGGGGCAGGGTTCGTTGTAGAATGTTAGTGCATCCATAAAATCAACGTCATCGTATCCGTAACGTTTATATACAGGGAGAAACTTTAAAAATTAATTATTATTTAATATATTAATTATTTATTATGGCTAAATATTGTTTGAAAGAGTGAATGAATGAATGGAGGAATGATAAAAGAATGATTGACTTTGTAACGAACGAACGGGAACGGATTAAAGAATGATTGATTGAACGAGTAAATAAATGAATGGATAAAATAATGAATCAATGAATGGACAAACGAATGAATGAATGACAGATTGAATAAATGAATGAATTTTAATTTAACGTCTGGCGTGTAGAATTTCTCGCAGACAGGAAACTGCATCTGCAATCTCGGCTGCATCAGTTCTATTGTGCTTTCCTTGAATATGATGATGATAACGATGATGATGTCATTGATGACGTCATTCTTGACGATGATGTCAGTTAGAGTGATATGGGCTTAATGACGAACTGACGGTAACTGAGATTAACAAGAATCTCGATATTTTTAAAAAATTTTATATTTAGTTAATTATTAAAAAGATTATCAACTGGCCGACGTACGAGCGAATTAGGCGCATAGATAGGGAATTTTGAGCCTACAATCTGAAATGTAGGAATATCTATCCTCTTGGTGCAATCCATCTTGTCATCTTAATGTTAAAAGTTATAAAAAAAGTCATTCATTCGTTCATTTATTTATTTATTCATTCATTCGTTTTTTATTTATTCTTTCATTTTCAAGTGGAATATCGTAGCCTGAATAAATTATGTTAATTAATGATAGCCTCACCTTCCATTGCGTACGTTACGGCCGGGACACTCTTCGCCAGTTTCAATTTTTCCAGTATTTTCTCCAGCCTCCTTTTATAAATTACCTTTTTAAACAGTGTAAAGCATTTCTTAATGAGTTAAGTCAGTTAAGTGTGCATGCTTTTGTGAGAAAGCATTGGCCGAAGAGAGAATGTCCTGGTTTGGTTGAGCGAGGAATCACTCCGATCGTAAGTATGTAAAAACGTAATGCCACGATTTACACGTGATATAGCGCAACAAGCGTACCCTAATGCAATGTGATGTGACGTAATCAAATGCATTGTGGTATAATGTAACAGGTAAAGACATTACATTCACCTTCCTGGCGGCCTGTATAAATGTATCAAGCACCTTCTTTTTCTTATCCCAGATGTCGGCTTGTGATACGTCAAACGCGACTGCATGAGCCACAGGCTTCAGTAATAATAATATTCATAATTATTACGGTTATAACAATAAACGTAATAATTACATTTATAGTTATATTCATAATAAATAACTTATTTACAAAATTTATAATAATTATGACCTATTTTTATGTTTTATGAAATTTAACTATAGGTGATAAAATATTTGAAATTTGATCATTTTCTGGTAAATATTTCGTTTATAAAGATATAACTTTAAAAAAAAGATAAAAATGATATGACGACAGTTTCTCTTGGAAACAGAAATATCAAGCAGGTGTTGTTTATCACGCGGTAACCAAGTTCAAAAAAAACCTTTGTCATAATATGTTATATGTTTAAGTTGCATGAATATGGCATGTCAAAAACGTGCTTTATATAAATTACAGCAATTGACTTTATCAAAAACTGAACTATAATTCAAATTTCGTAACGTTAAATTGGAAAACACCACACCACAGGCCAAAACGTACATTCCACGTATTTCTCGAAGTTCTTCTGACATACCTACAACTTTCTGAGTAAAATTTCGGTTGTTCGCTGTAGAACTCTTCATCCTAAAATTATGAATTTTACATCTCTATCTATATTAAAAATCATTCATGTACATTGTATTAAAAGTAAATGGTTTTTAATTGCTGAAAAGGCCATATGTTATAGATTAAGTCATTAAAAGATGATTTGCTGTCAGATTTGTTGGATTTGTTGATTCATTTTGGACAGAGTAAAATGTCGGAAAAGAAGTTTATATTATTGAAAAACAACTTCGTAATTCTTAATCGAATTTCTTTCTTCCATCAAAGTGATGTAAAATTCTCTGCTGATTGGATCGCAACCGAGTTTCGTCTGCCATTTTAAATAGTTTTTCATCTCATTGACAACTTCTCGTTGGACACTCTCTTGAAATATTTTTAACTGGAAAGTATTTTTTAACTGATTTTAAAATTATTTAGTATTGTGGTAGTATTATTATAGTTTATTTATATTTTATAAGCATTGAATTTTAATACCCAAGAATATTAACTTATTAAAAGGCTTCATTTCGTAATTAAATATTTTTACCAATACAGATTTAGGTTATCTACTTAATAAATTATAGGGCCATAATATAATATAATAAAATTAATATTATAATATGCGTAATGTGTGTTTGTGTGAGTGTGTCTGTCTGTTTGTGTGTGTTCACAACCTTTTTCTGATAGTTTGATTGATCCAATATTAGTATTGGCGAGGCATTGCTTAACAAATTCGCCATCTGAATTTAAAATTTGATAAATTAATTATTTAAATTAAAACGGTCATTAGAAGCTGAAATATTTTTTCGACTAATAAATTAATTATATAAACAACTATTTATTTATGATAATTAATTTATTCATTAAAAACTCATTGAATTTAACTTTGACGTTTAACTCATCTTAATATTATCGTATCATGTGGCATATATAAATACAAAATTTTGTAACCATGGTGACGAAAAAGTTAATTTAAGTTGTAAGATTTTTGTGATTAACATTTCTATGGGATAGAATTGCTTGTATCCATATACTTAGAATATGGAACAAACCAATATTTAAGCAAAATAAATAAATAGATAGACAAATAAATGAGTGAATAAATAGATAGACGAATAGACAAACAGCTATAAAGATTGAAAAATAGACAGGAATACATAGCTAGTAAGTAGTAAGGAAATTATAGTGCAGTATTTCAAGTAAATAAAGTTAAAAATATAAGTTAAAACTAAAAATGCTTCTGACTACAAGACTATCCTAGTCGACGCACATATATATAAAACAGAAAAACATTTTCATTACAGAGGGAAGTAAAATGTAATGTATTGTATAATTATATATTGATATATAAATATATATACAAATCATTATCAAACACACACAAACACATATACACACATTATAACCATAACCTAAATTAACAAGGAGTGACACATTTTACACCGCAAATTTAGATCACTTTGTGGACATATGTATATAAACTTATATATTTTTCTTTATATGTTGGAGTTAAATATATCAAATATACTGTCATATGTATATGGTTTAAGTGTATGGTCTATGGTCTAGACAATGGAAAGAGTTTTATACAAAATCTTATTACTTATGTACAGTCTATTACTCTAAATATATGTGCACAGCATATACTTAGAATATAGCGTACAGTACATACAGTATATACTGTTATGTCTATGTTGTATACATTGTATAGAAAGGGCGATAAATAAGTTGTGGTTTTTACTAACGACGAGTTTTTGCTTAACAAATGGAAAGTTATTTGCTTAATTCTATTGCAATTGTCATAAATGGTCGCAGACGTGTGTTTTAAACTTTATTTCGCTGTTTTATTTAGCTGTCAGTCACTATTTTAGAAGTTTGAAGAATTTTTATTATCAATTGTGTGTTATGAACTTTTGATTTTGTGGTGTTTTTTTAAATTTTAAAGCGTAATTTTAATTTTTAAACATTAAATTACGCTTAAACATTTTAAACTAAATTACCCATTCTTTTATTAAAAGTCTAATCTAAATTTATAACAACTTAATAATGTAGTGTTGGCTGCTGAATGTTGTAAAATGATATCATAATGTGATACTTTTTGATTTTGTTTTGATTGAACTGAACAGCCATTATTATTGGCTTAGCAGTCTATAGCTTAGAGCTAATGCTAGCTAATCCTATTTTAATTTTAAAAAGTCAAAAATCACAGTCAGTTGTCAGTGACCATCATCACTATTAAATTAAACATAAAAAAAAGTATTAAACTAAGTTTAATTAAAGACTAATTAAAGTATTAGGAAGAGCTAACCAAAAAAAGCTGGTCCTACTGGGCTGACTAACTACTTGTTTGTAAGTTTGTTCAGTTTGTATTACTTCTTTATTCAATTCAAGTTTATTGACAGACGGTTGATATGCAATATAAATAAATGAAATAATGCATTTTTATTTCTATTTGAAATTTTAAGCCATTCATTCAAAACATAACTACTAACTTATTTATTTATTTATACTAATAATAATTATTAAGGAAATTCAACATTTTAGAATCACTTATTAAGTGTGTAACTTTATAAAAAAAATTTTTGTATGTAAATCTATCTTAGTCTATCCACTCATTCTAGTAATTAGTAATAAAATGAATTTTTTGTTTTTTGAAATGTTTTTTAAAAAAATAACACCAGATAAATAATGGCTGAAAGACTTGATCTGGTTGCTAGTAAAAAATGGGTGTACAGCACGTATGGAAATGTGCTAGTCAAGAGTGTCAGGTCTCTACAGGCCAATGATGAGTTGTGTGACTTTACCATTACAGCTGACAAGAAATCAATAAGAGTATGTGGTTCAATTTATTTTCTTTGCTAAACGCTAAACTTAAATTTAATCAATCAAAATTGTTGTAAATGTTTATGCTTCATTTCAAATTAGATTTTATTTCAGTTCTTTTTTCTTTTCTTAAAATTTTAAAATCAAAAATTCATATTTGCCAGGTTCACAAAGTGATACTAGCAGCAACGAGTGAATACTTCAGAGCCATGTTGCGGGGCTACATGAAAGAAACAAAAGAGGATATCGTCGATCTCGGCGGAATTAGTGCTTCCTCTCTTGAAATGATCGTCGAATTCATCTACAGTGGTGAGATGGAGTTGAATCCTGACTGCCTTATTGACATGCTGAATGCTGCTAACCATCTCCAGATTCCTACAGCACTGGAGTTATGCAGTGACTATATAATCTCTCTCATCACATTTGCCAATGCAGAGGAATTTGTGCACATAGCTGATATTTATTCGTTAGAGAAGGTAATTGATTTTTTCACAGATAAGGTTCTCACAAACTTTGAAACATTTACAGAGGCTCCAGTGTTTCTCTCAACGAGTGTCAGCCCTTTAATGTGCTACCTGCAGAGCGATAGACTGAAAATCAAATCAGAGGTTCTCTTATTTGATGCCATTCTCAAGTGGTTTCGACATGACTCGGCTCGGATCGAGTCCATACCGACGCTTCTCAGATGTATTAGGTACGGGTTGATTCCAAAAACTACGCTACAATCAAGTCATCCCATTTTCGCCTTATTCCCAGACGAAGCCCAACTACTTCAGACTGGTTTGAAGTACCACGCTGATTATTTGAAAGGCCATCCCGAGCCGGACATTAATTGGAGGATTCGGACCAATGAAACGTCGTTGATAATCGTTATACACGGTTCTTCTAACAGGCCTCTGGAGATCGTCGCCTACGAAAAGTCTACCTCAAATTTCTATCTCGTCGGAAGTGATACGAATGCCAGTAGAGATTGTAGAGTCGTCGAGGTCGAAAATTATTTGTACATATTTAGAGTCGTCGATAGCGGTGGGGGCGCCTTCGTCAACTGTTTGATTCGATTCGATCCCAGACATCTGACGCTGATTATCCTGTTACCCGGACGAACAATCAGACTTGACCCGGCCATTGTTGTCCACGGTAAAAAGATTTTTTGTATAGGCGGGTGCATGGATGTACCTCAAGGAATTCACGGAAATACGATGCTAGACACAGTCGAAGTTTACAACTTAGCAGATAACACGTGGAGCTTTGTTTCTCCCATTCCAGACGCCACTCACTCGCACGCAGCGTGTGCGGCTCGAAACTTGATATACTACAGTGGCGGGATAGCGGCTTCAAACAGAGGAGCAGCGTCGCCTAATTTTGTCCAGTTTAATCCTCAGACAGAAGAGTACAACTACTTGTGTCCCATGCACAGTCCCAGGCGGTTGCACGAAATGGAAGCCCTGAACGATCACATCTACGTTCTGGGCGGCATCGGATCTCACAGTTACGACCACAAGAAAAATTTGATTCCCATAGAGAGGTACAGCATAGATACTGACCAGTGGACTATATTGAGTGGCACGCTAGCAGGCCGATCGATCGGCCATTATGTTGTTGTGAATGATACAATAATCTCGTTAGGAAGAGAGCACATCTCTGCTACCGAGGACGCCATTTGGTCCTATAGTCCGGAAACTGATTCCTGGACCCCTTACACTAAAATACCTCACAAGACTTCATTAGCTCTATCGGCTGGCTCGTTTTTAAATATTAATTTTGCTGATGAAAAAGTTTCTAAACGTAAAGTTTAAGTTTTTAATTATGTATCTTCGTTGTTTCATTATGTTTTATTTTTGGTCTTATAAAATGATAAGCTCTAATGTAATAAGAGTTGACAGACACTCAAGCTTGGTTTAAATACCTCTGATATTCGAATTTTTCAAATCATTATTAAATTTCGATCGATTCAAATTAGTATTTTCATTGATAAATCATGATAAACTTTTTTTTAAATTCACTTGAATGGATGATAAGATTGCCTGTTTTAAATGGTTTGTACGTATTATCTCCCCTGCTAACATTCACAACATGGTCCATTTGATGACAATGTATTTATTACCCACATGTATAGATAACTTAGTAAGTGTGCGATCAAAATTGAAGTTGCACACATGATTGCAATAGAGAACGTTACAACTATATATATATATATATATATATATATATATATATAATCTGTATGTGTGTGTGTGAAATTGTATGTGGTGTGTGTGTGTGTGTGTTTTTGGATGTATAATTTACCATTGGCAGTCACCAAAAGTTGTGCAGATGAATTCAAAAATACCGTGCATTGTCAAAACATCGATTGTATGGAATAAACGTGTACACAAAAATGTCTTGTATCTGATATATAGATGATATATAGATATCTGATTATATTGTTAAAATTCACTATCTAGAAAACATCAACACAATATTAAGATCGTTTATAGCGTAATTTAGTTTTATTCATCCATCGTCAATAAGGAAATGTTCATAGATTCGTAGATGCTAACGCTCATTCCTCTCATTTCGAAGTTTCCGGCAGAGTTGTACCGGCACCAATCTTCATTTGAAGATTGTTCTCTCCATTCTTTTCAGTCAAAATTGAAGCTTCGGTGATCATTAACAGAGGTGATCTTTTTGGATGTTTTTCATTTGAACTGGTTGCATCCATTGGAGGCATATGTGTGTTTTGTTGAGTGAGTTCCGTGTTTGTTTGTATCGGTTCGTTTGTGATGTCTTTCAACTTCAAGCTCGGCTCAGGTGAGGTGTAATTTTCGTATAAAAAATTTATAAAATTTTTTTCAGGGCTATCATCGCTTGTGTTAAATTCTGCAGAAACGTTTTCGTAATTTCCAAGATTTTCCTTTGCTATATAGGATTCTGTTGAGATTTCATGACGTTCGCTGTTGATAGATTTCAACAGAGGAGGTCTACTGGTTTGCAAATGATTACCTTTACTTGCCGTTGTTTGCCATTCATGTTCTGATTTTCTTTCTTTCGAATTTTCGCTTTTAACTGGTGCCTTTGTAGTAATCCAATGGGTCTGCTGCTGGTAGTTGTTGAATGAACCTGACCCAGTGTGTGACGAAAAGGTGCCGGTGTTTGGATCCGGTTTAGATGTCTGCTCCAGTTTTGGTTTTTTAGAAATGTTTTTTGTCACGGGTGGTTTTGTAGTGATCATATTTTTCGGATTTTTATCACTGATTGGTGCAGTTGAAATTTTTTTGTGTTCGCTATCGGACGGCTTTGTAGTAAATATTCCATTACTTGATTTCGTAGCAAAATCAGAAACCTGTTTTCTTTTTTCAGAGGTCTTTTCACTAGATGAAGCTTTAGTAGTAATTAAATTTTTCTGATTTTTAGTGGTGATCTTATTATCCAGACTGTTTTTATTACCCGGAGCCTTGGTAGTGATCATCCAAACTGACGTTCTCGGGTTGGATGAAGTGTGTTCAATCTCAGTTAAGTTTTGAAAACCGCTTTCAGGCTTAATTCTTTTAGAATAATTTTTAATAACTGGATCCTTCGGGGTGATAAAATTGTTCTGAGTTTGTGTTTGTGGCTTGTCCGAAACATAGCGCTTACCATCGTAAGAACTTGTTACTTCCAGCAAAGATCCGTTACGTGCTAAATAAATGTCAAGGCTCGCGTTCGTTTCGTTTATCATATTCCAAAATATTTGGTCATCAACGTTTGTCGTATTATGTTCAGATAAATTTGCATCCGTTTCCATTTTATAAATTTCAAATTTTGGCTTTTTCGAGTTTATTTCTAAATGTGTTTCATTAATATTTGACGAATTATGATCTGGAAAATTTGGTTTTGGTGCTAAGAAGATCGGTTTCATATTGGGTTTCAAATCGTTGGCAGTGCCTTGCTGTTAAATAAATATTAATGCTTTATGTGCAATCTCAATTAATGTTTAAACATATCTCACTAACCACTTTCCAAGTCGACAAGAAAGTAAATGAGAAAAATAAAAGCAAAATACTAAAACGCGACATTTCTTGAAACCGAAAATTCACAAATGGTAATAAAAAACGACGAATTAAACTTGATCGCAAATCATCGCAAGTGACGAGGCTTTCTGCTACTGGAGAGCTTTTATACAGCGGACGTGAAGCAAACTGAGGTTCTATCTGTCTGATGGATGCGATCGATCCGATGCACATGCATACACTATACGTGTTGCATGAATGTCAACCTATCTACATACAATTTTATAAAAATTTAGATGTATATACATGTATAACTACAGGAATGTATGCGGACGGTCTTCGGTGATCATTGGAAAATTGCAGGTAGTTGTCGCGAAATTATCACATCAAGGTAGAATGTTGCAGGTGCATGTGGCCTAGGTAACGTTGTACTGAGTAATGAAGGATATAACAATGTAGTAAAGAGCGTTTAATTCTAATAATTTATTGATTTGATTTTACATGAAATAAAATGTTTTATGGTTGTAGGCAGGCATTTTTTTCCCCAGAAATTGAATTTAAGTGTTTTCTGTTTTCTCATTTCTTAAAATTCGAAAGTTATCCCTTCGTTGCATCACGAGACAGCAAGTGTCATTAAAATGCTTTTACAGAACGTTTACTATACCTCGCAATGAAATTTATCACTAAACTCAAACTACTAAATTAATGTATTGAATAGTTTTTCTATTTTCCTGTAGCCTTAATAAACTTACGACGGACAGACTGTATTCAACCATTCTATTATTCGCTATTTACATCATGAGCTGCAATCACATTTGTTTGCCTTGGGTTTACCTGAATTCTATGGCAAATATACATGTATGTGTACAGTGCATATGTAGGTAGGTGCATCATAAATTGCTGGTTGCGGTAAAAATCACTGCGCCATTGATTTTCCAGGGAGCAAAACGAAGAAACAGGTGTCGTCGGTGTTGTAAAAAAAAATTACTGTATTATTAAAATGTCAGCTCACAAATTTAAAACTTGAATACACCAAATTGGCTAAGTTAACGTCTAATTTAAATGATCATATGACCGACTGACTTATTTAATTCGTTGGTTGGATCTGCCTTACTGGCCTTGGACCACCGCTTTCAGGAGCAATGATCTAAATATTATCTACAACTAGTAAGTACATAGCCAAATCTCAAATACGTTGAGTTTTAACGTGAATTTCACTGGAAACGAACTATAGTTAACAATGTTTGTTTCGGCAAGTCATCTAAATTCACAGAAATGTTACATCAAATCAATCAATCGATTTGATCAATTAATAAACTATGTAACTGAATGATCAAATAATGTTAGATAATAAATTCTTTTAAAAAAATGATGGGTCTGTCCAATTTTTGCACTTCCAAAAGATCTAGAGTGCTAGTTGGTTGCACCTATTATTAAATATATCCAAAAATTTCAAAATACTGTATAAAATCGTTCATAATTTGACGTAATAATTAGATATTAATGAGATTTTTACTTTTATTTTTATCCATTTCATTAATAATGTTAGTTGTCTCGTTGCTTTAGTCAAGTATTTGCTAGGGTTACGAAATGAAATATTAATAACGCCAAAATAACAAACTTAAGTATCCAATTTTAATACCAGAAGAAAATATCTTTCAGGTTTTAAAGCCAAAAAAAGTAGGGACAACCATATTTTTTGCCAAACAGTATATCAGAATTTTATTATTCAAGAAAAATATTATTAACATTATTATAATAAAAATATTATTACATAATTTATAAATTATAAATCATAAAAACAAAAGCCAAAAAATATACATGTATGAATTCATTTTTTAAATAAAATACAATTAGGAGATTTGATACAGAAAAAATAAATATCGTTAAAGCTATCAAAAAAGAAAAAGAACACACACACACACGCACTCACACATACACACAAACAAACACACACACACTAACAAACACACACATAGGTTGTCTAAATTTATAACCAAGTTTAATTAGATCGTTAATAATGGTCACCAAATATACGTAAATAGATCAATAGCGTGTCAGTGCGTCAAACATTTCGTCGTAACGTCTGCAAATTTAGTTTTTAATTATTGTTATTTTTTCTAATATTAATATTATTATTATTTTTAATATAAAAATGTTATTAAATAAATAAAATATGGACGGATATATATATATATATATATATATATATATATATATATATAGGTTAAACGTAATATCTTGATTTAACAAGCTGACCAAGCATTTGGTTAATGATAAAATAATAAAATTAATAATAGAAATAATAACAATAGTGACGGGAAATAATAATAATAACAATGCCAAATAGTAATAATAATTCGAATATAGAAGCAATGCAAATTTATTCAAATGATTTTTGATTGACTGACTGACTGTATGGAACGACATGCAAATGAAGCTGAAATCCTAGAAAATTTTCACAAAATAAAAATAATAATAAAGAAATAATAATAATAATAAAAGTTTTATGTCATTATAATATGCTTGTTGTGGTAGCATCACCATGCCAACTAGTAAGATTGAATTTCGATATTTTGGCAGACTTTTTCGTTAACATTGAATCATTCATCCAGCCAAGTATTCCTTCGTACGACCATTCATTCATTCCCTCATTTATCCATTTATTTATTTACTCATTTCCTCATTCACACACTCACTCACCTACTCACTCACTCACTCACTCACTCACTCACTCACTCACTCACTCACTCACTCACTCACTCACTCACTCACTCACTCACTCACTCACTCACTCACTCACTCACTCACTCACTCACTCAGTTTCTTTTAAACACTTTTGATATTCAACTGAATAAATAAGATAAGCTAAAAGCTGTAAAAAATAATTTTATATCATTTAGATGGTTAATTCACTTGTGTGTGTATATGCCACATTCATGCATTCATTCATTCTCTCTCTCTTCCTCTCTCTCTCCATACATACATACATATTCATGTAGATCATTCAAAAATCATGGTAACAAATATAAATATGTAAAGATTAATATGTACAGTCAAGCAATAATGTATGTTATAAAAAAATAATTAATAAATAAATATATATTTATATAGTAAAAGATAGCAAGACAGATTTGAAAACAACCGAATGATCGAATGAAGGAAAACAAGCATGGAAAAAACGAATTAGGAAAAAAACGAATAAATTAATTTAAAAAAAAACTCGGATAAATTGAAAAAACAAATGATGCCACAAGCCATGCCACAATATCCCTAAAAGGTGGTTAAATTCGGTGTCGGCTTTATCCTGTCCATCATAGTCGTATCGAAGTAGGGCGTGTATTTATTCAGAGGCCGTTTTAGGGAATGAGTTCTAGAGATTAAAAATTTTTTTTGAAAAAGTTTGGGTCGAGATATGGTTGGTTATGTGGAAGAATATTTGGTTATGGTTTTTTTTTGTGGGATAAATCTGGTTATAAATTTCGTTTGTAGAGATTTAATGATGAAACAAACTCTTTGCAATAAGACATAGGGAGATAATTCATGAAAGAGTTGGACCCAAGAGTGAAATAATTACATATTGGCTATATCCTTAACTAACGTTCCTAACTACCAACCTTACAAAAACTATTTAATTACCGTGATATAAAAACATTCATGCCACAACCAAACTTCCTGTAGAAAGCCTATGTATAAATTAATACATTACGCTGTGTCAGATTATATTAAATATAAATTATAAGACCAACACCAGTAGCATATAACAATAAAACTTTTAGAAATGAATAATACAATAACCGTCACATACTAATACTGAATCAACATCAAAATGTACTGAACAAAACTTCATAAACTACCATTACTCCTCAACTATAATTTATCATTATATAAATTTATTAAATAATAATTAAGAAGATAAAAAATTTAAAAAAATTTTAAAAGTGAACTTACTTTTTGCCGACTCTAAAATGAATTATAACAAAAATGACACCGATGACAATGCTAAGGCAGCCAACGACGAGATAAGCTATGCCTAAAAAAGAGTTCTTCCCCCCGAGAAAGGACGTTGTAGTTAGAATCAGTTTCTTCCGACCGTCAAATTTTGTCACCGGGTAGTCTAGATTTGTAAAAAAAATTTTTTTTGGCTCTTGCTATCTATCTATCTATCTATCTATCTATCTATCTATCTATCTATCTATCTATCTATCTATCTACCTGCCTACCTACCTACCTACCTATCTATCTATCTATCTATTCCATCTTCCGCCTATTTTTAGCAGAGATGAATGGAAAACTAGCAACTTACTATATTCAATTATAAAAGAATAATTTCCGGACTTCAATCCATTCTTAAACAGTCCGGTATGGTTTATGTGTCTATGGAGTTTCCTAAAATTATGGAAAGCGGCCACTCTCATCCAAACCATTAGCTCCTCGTTGTTGTAGCCATTGTTCGTCGGATCCTCTGTATCCAGTTGGTAGACATTTTTTCTCCAGTTTAACGGTTGGATTGATTTCTTGAAGACTGTAATTTTTGAATTCGGTGTCACATTAAGAGATTAGGAGTAGGATTAATAAGGAGGAAGATTAGGGAAAAGGCTATAAAAAAAAAGTGTGATACAAAATAGCCCCAAAAATATCAATCTATCCGCCCATCTATCTATCTGTCCATCCATTCACCTATCTATTCACAAATAAGTTTCTTAGTTAGAAAAATAAAACATCATCTTACTGGCTCCTCTACCAGTGATGGAGTCATCGAAAAAATCCTGGGGATTGTGGAATTTAGAATTCCTATCAGTCAGCCAGGCTATGTTACGCTTGATCAAGTTAACAGCTATGTTCATGTCACTATTAGTGATGTTGGGATCATTTAACTGGTAAGACAGGCTGAAGGTGTCTGCAATGGTGATGTAATGGTGATGAGATGATGGTGTGATAATTTATTTATCTTTTGCATTCAAACACAAATAATATAAAAATGAGAAAAAATTTGATAGATGCTACTCTAACTCTCCCTCCTTCTAATTTGTTTGGGCCCCTTCCCCTGATCAACTAAGCCATAGCCAGCCAACCAACCCAACAACCAACCAGTCAGCCAACCAGTCAACCAACCATTAAAAAGGCTGTTGGCAATAGCCCCACATGGCGCATAGTAGAGGCCAGTGTTTGAATCTTTATAGAAAGGTTCACATTCAGAAATTGACATTCCTGTTTTATCCTTGCCTAAGAGTTGGTCGTCGTCACGAGATTTTACGTAGCGTCTGTGGTTTTGGTAGAAGTTTTTCAGTTTGTAGTACAAGAAAACTGGAGCCTGTATGCATAGTTTATAAAAATAAAATTATGGAATAAAAAAAAATACCAACAAAAAAGAAAAAAATTTACAGGATAATCAGACTCCAGATTGAATTGGACCTGACATTTACAAACTGTGGTGATGTTGTCAGAGATGATGTTAGCACAAGTCGCATTTGCATTGTCTACAGAAACACAATATGTGTAATCTATCACTTTCTCTTTAACCTTTTAGGTGATAAAAAGTTATAAGTTGCAAAATGATCATTATTTATACTTTTCATGTTTCATGTTATAATATTAGATAAGTAAATTTTAGTTAAATTTTTTTATCCGCACAAGTTTAATTGATTTTATTTTTATATTAATTCAATAAATTTTTTAATTAGATTCTGCTTACTGCATTGGTGACAATTAGAAATGCAATACCAATAGGTATAAATGAGACCCCAACAGCAAACAACAATGGTAAGACACTTTCTGCTGTGAGTATGGGCTGCCAGGCTGGTAGCTTCTGCTGTTTGAACTTTGAATCTGAGGTGTTTAGTGTAAATTTAGTGTAAATGTAGTTTAGTGTAAATCTGCTATCGCTCTCTATACTATAGGATAGACTTATAATACTTAAGTTTTAAGCTCAAAATTCATATTTTTCATTTTTTTTTAATTAATTTACGAAACTTTACTTTCAGTTAGTGAAATAAACGTTCTCAAACGATTTAATTTAGTTATTTAATAAAATTTTATGTAAAAAAAAATAAAAAATTGAATTAAAGATTAATTTTTTAGACTTTTAACCTCTTGGCCTGTTTAGATTTTTTTTAATTTTGTGTCCTTCATCACCAGAGGTGGTCACATTATTATTAATAATATTTGTCATATTTTAAACATAAAACATCAGAAAAAAATAAATACGCAAAATAAATAAAGGAAAAAACGAATTAAATGCCGACCAAGATACGTACGGCGCCTTTTGAACTAATAAATAGATAAATATCGAACGATTTAGAAAGAATCGGATCAATATAAAATAAAATGATTAAAAGTAAATAAATCATACGTGCACCTGTCTTTAGTAAGTAAGATAAAAATCCTTTTACATGCGCCTAACATCAAAAGAAATTTACATAATGTTTTTTTTTGTTATTATATCATTTGAAAACTTGCTGATAAATGGAAGACAAAAAATAGTAGTGTTAAGATTGTTATAATAGAAGTATAAGGACACTAGAATTGTGGCAATGGTCAAACACGTGACAGATGAAATTTGACCTTAATCGTAAAATTGTTACTGTAATTTTAAAATCTATGCCTGGAGACCAAAATTATGAAGAAAATAAACTGGCCTTTATAAGGCAATATTCGAAACCCAATGAAAAAGAGCAGGACTTTGTGCATTTGTAAAAAGGTGAAATATTCAGAAGTCATTGAGTCTGCAACCGAAAATGCTGTAAAGAAGCAATGGTCAACAAATATTTTTTGAAGGACACAAAATGCATTAGTTGAGGATTTGCCATCTGGTTGTTCTCATCAAAAAACACTTTTAGAAAAATGTTCAGAAAGTTTGATAGCTTTGCACATACTAGTTGGGCATCGAGCAGTGATGAGTAGTTGAAATTGAATGGTTAATACTTTATATTAAGAACAACTGCGTGAAACTTCATTCATTATTAGCCAATAAGTTGCGAACAAAAACAACTTTATTTTACTTTATATTTTTCTAATATATTTTTAAATAAGTGTCATAGCATTCATAAAATATTAATATAATAATGCATTAACGGGATAAAATTTGATGACAAAAAGTCAAGAAAACAATATAGAAATAAATGAAACCATTATAAGATTAACCTCTTTATATACTTCATGTGACCTCTTCCTCGCGTCAAATGACAATTTACTAATGTCCACAGGAATTTAATTATTCAGGAACCATGCTGCTATCCGACTCTCTACATCATTTGTGAATCATTACTCCTATTTTTTCGCTCTCTCCTTCTCTCTCTCTCTCTCTCTCTCTCTCTTTGTATTTCTTTATCTACTCTTTTTTCGTTTCTATCTCTGACTGTCTCTTTTTTACATTTTTTCGCTCTCTCCCTCTTACTCACTCACTTAGCTTTGAGCACAGAGCAACAAAAAAATGAAGAAGCGAAATTATTTTATCTGCTAAAATCGTACGTGTGAATGCAATTACTGCCACACGAATGGTGCAGTGTTAGTGCGCCAAAATGCGTTAAGGAAATTGAATAAATAATGAATGAGTTAGTTATTAATTTTTTATAAAATATTCACGGAAGAGCTTTGTAATGAATGAACAAAAAATATACCACATAATGTTTTCAATTTTTTAATCAAAATTTCATCTTCCGTTTATTGTAATATTTACAATAAAAAACAAAGTAAGAGAAATAGAGAGCGAGAGAGAAAGAAAGAAAGAATTGTAACGGTATGCATCAAATTCAGTCAGGTCTATATAAGCAATCAGATGGATAGCATTTCTCAGATTTTTGTGTTTTCTACAAAGCTGTGTTACAGCTTTTATGGCGAATGATAGCTCGAAATATATATATATATACAATAATATATCAAGATTTGTTTCGTGTAATTATTTCGACTATTGAATGAATTTTATGCGCGTACGACAAACTGTTAAGAAATTGTCAGCATGGTCACAGTGTAGATAAGAGCAAAAACTTCATACAATAATTCGTCCATAATTTGTGTAGCTACGATAGGTTTCACATATTAAAATTATAAAGTTACTTATCAATAAAATTATAGAGTAGTTAACAGATTGTATAAAAAATTAAGAAAATGTTTGGACGACTGTTAATGAAAATGCTATTGTTGTGCGTCAGCCTCATGACAAGATGTCAGTCGATGGACAGTCTCGCTGATTGCAGTAACGGTATAAAATGGAAATGTTTAAAATTATTAAGATAAATTGATTTTATATAAAGTTTTTGAAATAGCATTGATGCAGAAGTTATTTGAATCAAAATTGAATATATATATAATTGCGTTGATTTTCAGATTGTTACAAATTAGCCGGCAGAAGCGAGCAGTCGTTGTGCTTACACAACTGCCAACAGGGCAACGAGAGGTTTTTCGGAAATTGAATTTTTATAATTGGGAAATATTGTGATTTTGACGTTTTTAAATGCTGAATGACAAATATTATATATTATCTAGTACAGTGAGTTATCGAACAATCTCTTTATAAGGAACATTTTATCATGCTATTTCATTTCACAAAATCACATTCCATCTGCTCATTGATTATAGGTTGAACGACGACCCAGACAGCTATGAATACAACTTCAACAGCGCAGACACCAGCGACGACTCAAATAACAATCTTCGCAACCACTTCTTGAGAGATAAGCTGAAATCCGCATTCGTAAGAATAGGCAGATCAATCCAATCCACCCCACCAGTAACCAACAAAAACAGTCCTCACCTCCAAATCGAGAAATCACCTCCAAAACAAAAACGTTCAACAGACTGGCTGCAAGACGACGAAGAAGCAGCGACGAGTAGATGGAACAAACGCCGTAGTGGGTTCGTGAGAATTGGCCGAAACAGTGGCGCCATTTACACGGAGAATGACGAGGACGATGAGGAAATTATCCCGGAGGATGAACTTGTGAAGAGACGAAGTGGATTCGTTAGAATCGGCAAAAAATCGACCGGTAAAAGAAGAAACGGGTTTGTTCGTATCGGATAAAAATTCAATACACTCATCCGGTGTTCGGCCATATTGATTTAAATTGGTATCGACAACAATTATTTGAACCGTCATTCTAAAAAGTAATCTTGAACTTCTGACGAAAATTTTATTTGATTACGTTTGAATTGTAAAGCAATTCATTATCTTAAGACAGATCCATCTATACGTACAAATTCTCAATTACACTTTATTCTATATTGAATTTAACAAATATGAGTTATATTTGTACACATATATAATGCTCAAAATTGTTTGAAAATTCTTTTTCCAAATAAAAAGTCATTCGAAAATGTGTTGAATTGAATTAAATCCACACAAACGGACAACTTTCACAATCACGAACATACTGGAAGAATCAGGCTCTAATATTTCCGAATAATAATAATAATAACAATAATTAATAATAACAATACTAACAAATAACAACAATAATAACCACAATAGCTCCAACAAAAAACATCACAGTACACAAACAGGACCACAACTATACAGAGAACTGCGCTCAAGTTTCACAAACAAAAACTTATCACTGACTGCAGCATACTTTCGGTGAAAGTTTCAACGTTTTTCAGTCGTCTTTGAGCTAGAAGCTTTCTTAAACGCGACAGTCTCGGCGTTTAGTCGCGCCAACGATCCAGAAAAAGTCATGGAAGAAGCCGAAGCTGCAATAGCAGACGAGAACGTGCTTCCAGCTAACTTTGAGGTAGTAGCAGCCGACGACTTCTGAGCCAAGCCACTAATTTTATTATCAGCTGCTAACTTGCTAACAACACTCAAACTACTACTGCTGTTACCATTGCTACTGCTGTTACTATTGTTGTTCGTGTCTTTTGCTGGCGTTTTATCTGGGCCAAGTTTTGATAACTTCATCAACGGTTTTCCTAATTCGTTGGTGGGGAAATGTTTACTCTTAAATCCGGCAACGTCTTTGTTGGTTGCCAAATTGGCGGCCAGACCTGCCAAGCCCCCTTTGCTCGATGACGTCAGTGGGTCCTTTGATGTGATTGGCTGCATTTTTGTAGAAGGAAAAGGAAGATAGTTAATTAGAAAACATTTAACAATTTTTTTAAATAATAGGAACGAATTTATGAATTTTTTGGAAAACCTAAATAAATGATTTTGGATTTTTAGTTAATAAAATATGTATATTATCAATAGATGGATAAAAGAACCGACCAGCCAACCAACCAATCACACAAACCAACCAGCCAACAAATCAATCACACGAACCAGCCAACCTTAATAGGCTGCTCAATTCTTTTAAATGGTTGCTGCAGAAGAGCAGTTGACGACGACGACAGTAATGCTGACGATTTCGTGAATGGCAAAGGAGAATTTCTAACATTTGACGACGACGATGATGACGACGACGATGAAGTTGGAGACGTTTTCAGCTTCTTTGCTGGCGGCTTTGTTACCTAGGTGTGGAAAAATCACGAAAGACACGGATACACACAAACACAATCACGTACACACAAATGCACATGCACACAAGGATACAAATTTTTATCAGTAGCTAACAATTTTTTTGAGGTTTTTCGAGCATTTGAAACAGTACCAGACGAATCTCGGATCGTTCACATCTTCAGTTATAGCTGGCTTGTGACATTCCTGGTGTTTATAATTTATGTTAATTTATTCATCAATTAGTCAATCATTCAGCTGATAACAACCTGGTGATACAGAGAATGACATTCTTGGCATTCAACAAGTCTATTGCTAGGTGACTGCGATAGAGTCCTATTAATGTTTTTGACGTTTTGATTGATTAAACGGTCGGTGGTTGATTGACCGATTGGTTAGTTGATTGATTGATTGATTGATAAGTCTCTTGATTAGCAGAATTTGTTTGAAAATTTAGACTGATAAAGTGATGAAAATGAATGAATGAATGAATGAATGAATGAATGAATGAATGAATGAATGAATAACTATAATTAATTGAATGGTTGAGAAATGTAACAAAACATAAAATAAGCAGACAAAAAACATAAAAACAAACACACACACGAACATACAAAAACAAACAAACACACACACACACACACATACAAAACATACTTGCACACGACACACGACAAACTGCTTATATCAAGTTGCATTTTGAGATCATCCAATTCGCTATTCGACGTCTTTTCATTACCACTTGACTCTGTATCACTATCATCACTAGATAGGTTACGCTTTCTACTGCTAAGCTGGTCTGTGCTATTAATATTACAATGATTACCATTAAAATGATAACAAAAAATACTAATAACATTATTATAGTTGAAGAAAAAACCATAAATAAGCATGATTATAATATTAACCTTGAATTTAGATCGATATGATCTTTAATTTTGATGGGGCTATTATTATTACCACTGCTGTTTAAGTTCACTTTTTTCGCTTGCAAATCGCTCAGATCCTTCAATTCTTGGGTTGCCTGTCTCAAAAAATAACATATTATATTTACATTTGATATATGAATAAAATAATGATGATAAAAATAATAATAAACATTATTTAATTATAAATTAACAACCTTGTCGATGTATAGTTTCTCTATCTGTTCTCTCTTTTTTATTTCAATATTTTTATTCAGGACAACATCACCCTAAACATTTTTTTTTCATATTAGGAAATTATTTTTAGATTGGGCAAGCTTTTTTTAGACTAGGAAGAGTAAATATTTATCTAGTTTAGTTGTTCATAAAGATTTTTAAATACTATCAGTAGTTTGTAGTTAGACAGTAGAACAGCAAGTAAAACAAATTTTATTATAAAATTTTTTAAATAAATCAACTTAAAAAATGTATAAAATGAATAAACAGCTGATTAAATTAAAACCAACCTTTGATTTATTACTTTCTGATCTTTTGTTCGATAAACTTTCTTCAAATAATTTCTTCAGCTCCTCCAGTGACGTTGAACTTTTTGAATGCATCAACTTCAAGGCCCTCGTAAAGAGGGGGTCCAGTTCAAATAGTGGCTTGTTATGAGGCTCAAGCATTTCTTTCTCCTTGGCTTAGCTCTTTGTAGTAGTCTAGCTTAATAATCTTAATAGAAAAATAGAAACTTAAAAAAATTATTTAGAAATCATATTTCCAAAAATAATCTTAATAGAAAAATAGAAACTTAAAAAAATTATTTAGAAATCATATTTCCAAAAATTTCTGGTTAGCCTAAATCTCTTAGCAACACATGACATGACACTTCAAAGAAACATTTATACAACATTTTAAAAATTTAAAATGCCTAAAAAAATAACAATCAACTAATTAACATTAAATTAAATTTATATTTTTAATTTTATTAAGAAGATTAACAAATTCAAAAATTAAAATTGAAATTTCAAATTATTATACTCATTTATTATTTTATTTAATTTTTAATAGATGGATATTTTTTCTAAAAGTTTAGTTATATCAGCAGAAAATACCTAACCAATTTAATGCCTAATTTATATCAACGGAATATTATTTCTTTCGTGTTTTTTTTTATATTTTTATTTCACCGAAAGTTGTCGGCGGAGGATTAAAATTAAATTTTAACGTTAGCAGCATATCAGCAATGAACGTAAATTTTTTGTTAGAAATGTGATAATTTTGTCTATGCTGAGTTGAATTAAAGTTTTTAGATTATATAAGTAAAGATAGTTGGTCGTTTTTGTCAGCTAATTCAACAACAACAATATTAATAACAATAATAAAATGAATAATAAAAAAAATCAATTTTCAAGTCAATATTTTAATAAATCTAAAGTCGAGTTTCATCTTTCAACTTAGGCTATCATTAATAAGTCCTTAAGGTCAAGATATTTATTAAATGTATATATTTCATTTTAATACTTTAAGGAGTGAATAAATATCTAAGTGCATGTGCGTGTGTTTGTATGTTTTTGAGTGTGTGTGTATGTGTTTGTGTGTATGTTTTTGTGTGTGTCCTGTCCTGGGTCTCTAGAGGTACAAGGCATCCCAGTGGTCACTAGTCAGAGCATACACATTTCCATAGTCGGTTTTGTATTTTTCGGCTTTGTCACTTTCACGCACACCTGTAACAATGGTTAAAATCGAATTTAATTGAATAAAACAAACAAACAAACACACAAAAAAAACCACATAGTAATGCAATCGCAAGAACCGAGTCCCATACAAAAGGTATTCGGTAACCATTTAGTTTCGGTCAGACAGACAGACAGACAGACAGACAGACAGACAGACAGACAGACAGACAGACAGACAGACAGACAGACAGACAGACAGACAGACAGACAGACAGACAGACAGACAGACAGACAGACAGACAGACAGATAGATAGATAGATAGATAGATAGATAGACAAACAGGCAACATTCGGACCAGATAACGGTAACATAAGATGATGGATGACGTTACTACCATGATGTCATAGTATTTTTTTCCTGAATTATAACAAACAAACGCAAACAAACAAACCTATATAGCTATACTTTCTTTTGATGAAGTTGGTGATACAAGGGAGTATTTTGAAATCAATTTTGTGACCGGTGCCATGGTTTTTGTTGCCGCTAGTCAAGTGGCTCGGTTTCATTGCGGCTATTAATATTAATAAAAATTATGAAAATATAAATATAATTATAAGTTCAGACGATTATTATCAATATAATTATAAGTGTGAGTTTGCGTTTGTATATAAACTTATGACTTATTATTAATAACATTTTTATATTATTATCTCTTATAACAATAATTTGATTAATAATAACATGTTACGATAATTTCACAATCGGATCTCAATTTCAATTGGGCAAGTTGATCTATAGTATTCTTTCTTATGTTCTGAAAATTAACGTCTTCACAGCAAACTTGAACTCCTATAAAATAAAAAAATTAAATATGCTATCATATTATTTATTATTTTATATATTATAGGTTTATTATTAATTCATAATAGTATTATTATTTTTATAAGCCATTTTTAATGAAAAACCATTTCTAGCTAAAATCTGCCGGGCTTCTTCGTCAGTGTAAAACTCGGAACCTTTGAAATTCAATTATAAATTATTGTTATTAAATTATAAATTATGCGTAACTGATGAATGAATGAATGATCGATCGATCGAACGAACGAACAAATGAATTAATTAATACCCCTAATGAATGACAGAACAAACAAATTAATTTATATATGTATATATGAATGATGAATGAACGAACGAACGAATGAATAAATGAATTACTGAAAGAATGAATTCACAAATGAATGAATAAATGATTGAAAGAAAAACGGGGAAATGCTAGCCATATGCACAAATAACCAGAGCCGTTAGAACCCCAAACAACACTACAAATCCAGATTTCATTTTTTTCTCTAAAATAAAACCAACCCTATACTAAAAATTATTCTAGCTTTTAATTTATTATTTTACTTCAAAATAATTTTAAAAATAATTTTGAAGAAGATAACAAAACGTTGCAGTAAAGTTCTATAAATATCTAAAATTAAGGCTTAAATTAAGTTCAAAGTTTACGCTTAGGCTTGTATTATGAAGAACGTTACATAGGAATAAACTAAAGTTTACGTGATTTACTGCAAACTACGTGATTTACTGCAAATTTACTGCAAACCTATTTTTCGGCCGACTATATTTTATCATCTGTCACTAATTTTAAAGTTAAAATTAACTTCTTAGCTCCACCAATCACAGCCATCAAACTTTGGTAGTCTTCTCAACTAACTAAATTAAAGTACAACTACTCAGTAACGTATAAAAAATACAATTCAAAGACGGTTTATGACCTTAAGACTAGTTCCGAAAACTTTAGTTGAAATAAAATTTAAACTTGGCACGTAAAAACACTTTTTTGTTTGTTAATTCAGTAAAGAAAAACGAGAAATAAGTCGAGCTAAACAAAAATTTTCTTATTATTCCAGTCCTTGTGGCTGAAACTAAATAGTAATTTATTTATATCTATTAATAATCCATTGAAAATGTCGTTAAATGTAAATGGAAACAACCAGAAAAGATCGAATTCAAACATTTTTCTAATTTAGGAGAAATAAAACCGAGACAAAAATGCTAACGCTAACGTTGAAAGTTTTTTTATACGCTTGACACACCCAAACACACATACACACGCACACAAACACACACACACCACAGACTGGCAGTAGATTTAATGTTTCCCTTTCTTGTAATTACCAAGCGCTATATCATCACCGGGCTTTCTCTTGGAAATGATATTTTGAATCTTTGACCATTCTCTATCCAACTCTTTTTTATCATCTCTTGGTCCAGCTCTTCTCGTTTTTCTTCCGTCTGCCATTTTGACGCCGTATTGAAATGCCGCCCTGTGATTAGTGAAGATTATTTCTTCATAATATATTGATCTATTTATAAATATAACAATAATTATTATAATTATTCAAATTAATATTATTATCAGCATCAATATTAAACTTATTCTATCATATAAAAAACATAAAAGAAGACAGCAGCACACACAACTTCAACTAACTCTAACTTCAACCACAAAGACGTCGACGACAACCACCACCACTACAACAACAACAACAACAAACTTTGGCATAGCTTCTCTGGCCGACATGTAGGTACTGTATTCCTCCTGGGTCTCAAAATCCCACCTCCCAACTGGGCCCTTCTTATTTCCCTGATCCATTTTTGTATAGTCAGCTTCGTCGTCACTGTCACCCAAGGCATCTACTGACTCCATCATCCTATTATTTTTGGATGGATGGAAATGAGAGAAAGAATAAAAAAAGTAGAAAGAATGGAGGAGATAAACAGAGTGAGAGAGAGAGGAAGAGAAAGAGAGAGAGAGAGAAATGCTTGAAAATTATTTCTGTCTCAATTATTATTCATCATTCTTGATGAATATTTATGATAAGAAAGCACAAGAACTTACAATGATATACACAAGCAACAAAGTAACAACAAACATACAATACCATATTCACTCATTCATTTTTATTCATTCGTTTGTTCGTTCGTTCATTCATACATCATTCATTCATTCACAACGAACCCAGGGTAGCATTCAGCATAGCTGTCAATATCCATTTTGCTTTTAATCTTTCTCATTCTCTCCTCCTCCTTCGATAACTTCTTCCCTCCATCTTGATTCTCATTGGCAGCTGTTTGTTGTTGTTGTTTGTCTAAGCCTGCCCATGTACCCTAGTTGTGTATGCGCGTGTTTGCGTGTGCGTGCGTGCGTGAATGTATTTTTATGTGTATGTGTGGGGTATGTCTGTGATGATGTATTTTGATATAAGACCAACGCACCTTGCCAAATCTCTCGTTAACGTTTTTAACAAACTCTTTTGCGGACAGTCTGCTTCCTGATTGGTTGTTATTCATTTCTTCCTCTTCTTCCTATTGGTCGGGTAAATGATTGTTTGATTGAGTGATTGCTAACGATGGTGACAATGAAATGTTTAGAAAAATGACAAAAATAGTATGAGTATGAACCGATAAGTGAAAGTCAATATTAGATCAGCGAGAATCTAAAATGAATGAACAAAACAAGACAATGAATGAATGAACCAACCTCTTCAGTAGGTCTTTCAAAATAAGATCTCTTACCCTCTCTCACTTTGTCCTCACCATCCCTCTTTCTATACTTATCATCACTATCTCTATATTTGTCAGATGACTTGCTGTTGTTGTTGTTGTAGCTGTTGGTAGCATATTGATGGTGCTGCTTATTGGGCTTGGCTAGGACATCATCAAATATACTGTTGTAATGTCATTTTTGTTGGCTGCGTTAGTGTTTTGTTGATGTATTTTTGTTGTTATTGTCATTGTTGGTGTTATTAGTTTTAATGTTTTGTTATTTGTCTAGATTTTTTTTTTCAACAAATAATTAACAGGCAAACAAACAAACATCGACCCAAAGCTTCACTCATTAAGCAATCGGAAACTGTTTGGACTACAGCAAAATAAAAACACTTTCATTGCAAATTTTCCATCAGCATTAAAACTTTAAATGAGAATTATTTTGAAATTAAATAAATTGAGGTATATAAATTAAAAAATATGAGATCAATAGAAAAGTAGGTGATGGTCAAAGTGATGTACTTTTCATCTCGGACAACAGGCAGGGTTCTATCGTCAAACTTCAGCTTTCCTAAATGAGAGTGAAGAAAATTAATTTTGATCAATTAAAATTTAATAAATTTTCAATTCTATAAATCAATTTATTATGATTAAATGTGGTAAATAATACTCTCATTTTACAAAAATAATACAAAGAACAATAATATCAAACCAAAGAATGAACAATAGCAACAAACCAGAAAACAAACAGCCAGGAAACAGACAAACAAACCTTTTTCTTTCTTCTTCTTCTTATCACGAGCACGTCCCTGCCTTAAGTATGTCAAAATCTGGGTCAGTTTATTGATAACAATATCGTTGTTGCTGAGAGTGGTCATAGTTTCCATGTTGGCACAATCTGCCTTGCTCCTAATTAGTGTAGTGGGGATGTCAGTGTCGTTCTCCTCATTCTCCTCTAAGTCGACAATGTAGCACATTCGACCGGGGATGAACAGGTCGTTTCGTTCTATTGGTCGGTTTGGATTTTTGGGGAGGGCTCTGAATATATTGCGAGCTGAAATTTGAACAAATTAGGCAGTAGTAAAAAAATAAGAAACAACATTTTACTGAGTGATCAAAGTGAATTATCCCTAAAAAATATGCTTATTATCATGACAGCAAAGTTGATTTTTTAAAAAGTAAAACACACCAACCCAGCTTTGTCCTGAATGTTATCTGATCTTCACTCTCTTCATTATCATTTTCCCTATTCATAAAAAAAATGGAATTAATTTCAGCATTAAACTTACCAAACTACATCGCAAAAAAATTGTTTAACAATTAGTAACTGTTTGAAGTGGATGAACTGAGAAGGAGATAGCAGTGAAGGCAAGCACTAACTGCTTATCAAGTGTTTTCTCGAGAAGAGCCATCTCCTCTTCTTGTTCCTTTGATATTATTTCTGCCTTCACCTAAAAGAATTTCATTTAAAACTCAATAAATTGAGCATCAAGCAAAGACTATGAATTTTTCTATGGACTAAAAAATCTCAAACTTTTTCCAACAGAGCATAATCCAAGCCTTTGACCAGATGGGTATGTTCCATGTCACCACCCAAAAATTTCGACTCCTGTATCAACTGCTGTCTGTGTTTAGCAAGATTGGCACCTGCATCAATGTCTGGGGCCACAGCACGGTAGTTGGCTGTCGTCGAAACCTCTGCTGTTTGATTAGGGTCGGCAGTATTGGCACCTTCACGACGTTCTTTAGCCCTATCTCGATATTTTCCAGCCAACTCTTTTTCTTTCTCATCTTCCTCCTTCTTCAGTTGGGCATAATAACTTTTTTTCTTCTTCCTCAGTGCAGCCGAATTGTTTGCATCACTGTGGGAGCTGGCTGGGGTTTTCGGCTTTGCAAATGATGACGTGGAAGGTTCCGATGAGTCGTGAGATGTCACCCGCGGCGTCATCAATAATTTACGGAAATCATCATTCGTCAGCCTTTCGCTTTCTTCGACATCAGCACCGTAATGGCGATCGGAATCCATTTTTTTTCAACAAAAAAAAACTAAACAATCAAACTTTTATTGGTCAAATTAACAAATTAATTTTATTAAAATAATCAACTGATAACTTGAAAACTAACAGGTAAACATGAATTATTTGACAATTAATATCGCAATTAAAAGTAAATAATTACGCCGAACATAGATTAATATTTTTGTTGTGCGTTATTTGCCACCACGAATATTCTATGGTTCCTAAAAGGTACCTGGGTCTTCTGACCGAAGATAGCCTATGATCATGAAGATCAGACTCGGTGCATTTGTAACATTATTAATTATTTTAATTTTAGTTTGCTATTTTACATCATTTAAACATTTTTTTTGTATTCATTTAATCTACCATTCATGACAATGTCCGGAGTGCGGGAGTATAGAATACAAAAAAAATTCAAGTTAACATCTAGTCAATAGATATATTGAAAGATGTATTATTCTACAAAATTTAGTGAAATTCACATAGCCAAAACAAGTACCATATGCTTAAGGATTTGGTATTTTGGCACTCTCAACATTCAATCTGGATCACAGCACGATTGAAGTGACTTCAATCAATCAATCAATCAATTAGCTTATAAAGCGCTATTTCCGCGATGTTCAACAGCGCTCCTCAATGAATTTTGAAAACAGATGGGTCTTGAGATCCGCTCTGAACTTCGCAAGTGATGGAGAAGTAGTCAGAGAAGTAGGTAGAGTTCCAGAGAAAAGGACCAGAAAAAGCAAAAGCAGATTTGGCAAAAGAGTGTTTAACACGACTTGACATCATTTTTTCAACCATACCGTCATTGAGTTTTTTTTTTTGATCATTTTGTACTCTTAATTTTATAATAAATCATTTGCTTTCAAGCGAAATTTTATGATCAGTTTTATTGTATTTTGTGATTCAATGATTTCCAACCAATACTTTTCCAAAAACGAGCTTAAATATAAGCTATTAACAATTTAAGCAGACGTGCTTTCTTAATTAAATAACAATTTGCCGTTTTAATTCAATTAAAAACTGTTAAATTTTAAACAACATGTAACGGAAAATGTACGTTTTGAAAATTTAACAAAATGTAATGTGAAAGGTATGTGATTACAGTCTTCTCACGCTTAAGATTTCAAGACTGTTAGGAACAAGCGTGACTAAATTGGATTTTGAGGTAGCAAGCAAGTATTGTTTAAAATTTAATTTGAATAAAATTTATAATCATTTCAGCAATTTTTAATTCATTATTCTTATTTATTTAACTATAAAAAGAAATTCCATCTGGAATCGACGATAGGGTATGTCTTAGTTTGAGATTGCTTTTCTCTTTCAATAAAGTTTATATTCTATATTTATTCATTATAAAAGTTATTCAAGAAGTTTAATATGGCGAATAAGTTAGTAACACCAAGAATACCTTTCTTACTTTACAAGTTATTTATAACAGAATAGTAGAAATTGAATATCTTTCAAACAGACCTATGGTGATGGCGGCGATGCTTGTCCTCTCATCTGGAGCTCTGCTTGCAATGGCAGAAAGTATGAATTAACGTTCGTAAAATCAAGCTTCATTAGTCTTGATTGAAGTGACTATGTTTGAATGTGTATTAGTTGTTGAAGTCCTTGAAAATTAAAAAAAAATATATAAATAATTTAATAATAAAAATAATTTGAAAAATAATAAATAAAAATAATTTCGATAATCTAGCCGGCACTAACAAGGAAAAAGATTTCGATTGCCATCAATTCATCAGTGATTCCGCTGCTAAGTACCAGATGCGTTTGAATGGTATGGCCACGTCATTCTCATTTGTCAAATTATCAAATTGTAAAGCGCTAAATGGGTTACCGATTTTCAAAAAGGTATCCACACGGAATCGGAAAATGTGTCTTTGAGCGGTATTCGCCTGAATACTCTATTCAAACTCGTTTCTTTGAAAATCGCTTCCGGCGGCTACATCACTATAACGGGTAAACGTGAATACAATTTCTTATAGTGGCTGTAGGTAGGGGAAGTAATAAATAACATATAGTAACATTCTACTTTTAAAAAATTTGCCCCAACAGCCGGGACCGAATCAAACTACGAAGAATATGGTAGTGAGAGTCACGTGACAGGTCACAAGGTCCACGTCTCGTCCAACAGCAAATTAGACGGCTACATACACAAATTTGCAAGGGGTGTGAATGATTTGGTTTATTAAATTTTGCTTTTTTTGCTCTTTTCCTAAATTTTGTCAATTTTTACACAAACACACCATACACACACACAACACTACACAGAAAACAAAAATTATTTTTTAGAGTTAGTCGGAGAGGACCGTGCGATGTATAGAGACAACAGTTTGCGCGGCGAGTACAAGTGGGTTGACCAATTTTGGGACATCTTGTATCATGAGCATGGAGAAATGGACACCAAGAAATTTAAAAAATGAATCTGAGAGACTTTTTGAAATGAATTTAGCGATTTTGAAGATTTAAAATCATTAAAGGACAAATTGATTGATATTGTTCGATTCAATTAACAATGCATATAATGATTTTTACATGCTTATTAAAGCCCTAAGTTTTTTTGTTTGCATATATGTACGTGTGTGAGAATGTATGTGTATTTATGGCCATAGCTGAGTTTCTATGGGGTCCACGTTGATAAAGCCAAGCGAGCAGCTTCCACTAATTACTTCAGCAGATTTGAATAAATGAATTAATAAAGTTAGTTGGCTTACTTACGGAATTGCAAAATCTGGAAAACTGATAATCATAAAAAGAAATAGATTGCGAGATAGTTCAATTGAAGGGTGTGTGTAAAACTTCATCTCAAATGCTTTCAATCTGTCTTTGTCTCACAAATACACACACACACACACACACACACACAACACACATACACTCACACACACACACACACACACACATACATACACAAACAAACAACATACAAACGCATACATGGAAAATCATGAAGCACATCTTGCTCTATGAACTTTGAAATTATTTGTTAAATAAAGCACATCTCGAAAAATATTCCTTCATTTTATTCTACAATATCCCACCTAATTTTTTTATGTTTTTTAAGAGTATTACCTTGCAATTATATCCTAAATAAATTAAAAATACTAAACTAAATATATATTAATATAGTTAACAAACAATGATCCATAGATTAGCTTGCATCTTATGCTACTATGTTTCTGCATTTGTAATATTATCCGATTCAGCAAAAGGTAAATTATCGTTTAAAAAATTAAATTTTCTTTTTAGAAATATAAAAATTAAATAATCATTTTCTCATTCTCCTTTCTCTCTCTCTCTCTTTTTTTCTTTCTCTCTCTTTCTCCTCCATCTTCTGCCGTAGTTGATCCTGATGTTAGTCACACGCACGAAGAAGCAATGGCTATCTTTAGTGACAACAGTTAGAATAATTAATTAATTATGTTAATTTATTCAAATTAGCAGCCAATAATCTGATTATGGATCATTAAATATATTCCTAAGAAATCGAAGTTTCGGAGTACGTGGAGTTTAATGGCATTTTAAAAGTGACGGTTCAAGCTGTTGTTATGTATAAGAGCGAAAGTGAATGTGATTTCGTCATTACGGGTTCGTATCATATCGTATCGGTATTGGGTATTCGGTATCGTATCGTATCGGGTATAGTATTGAGTAACGATCTACTCGGTACGGTGCGATAGACTACATCTAATTGTATTGTATTCTATGGTATCCTGGTTGTAGAGTATCGTATAGAATTGCATTGTAGGTGTAGGTACTTGATCGTCGTCATCATCATCATCATCATCATCATCAAAACTCTCCTAGCAATCGCCATCATCATCATTATCATCTCCGTCATCATCATCGTCGTCATCATTACCAGGAGGGACGGAAAACGCCCACAAACGATACGGCAAATACACGCATCATAGCGGACACAAGGTTACTACTACCCACTACTACTACTACTATTATTACAGTTACAACTACAACTGCTACTACTACTACTGGTACTACTACTACTACAACTACCACTGCTACTACTACTGCTACTACTACTACTACTACTACTACTACTACTACTACTACGACTACTACGACTACTACTATTACTACTGCTACTACTGCTACTACTGCTACTACTACTACTACTACTACTAATAATAATAATAATAATAACGAAAAAACAAAAATTCCAATAAAACAAAACAAGGTACACATCAAAAGCAGTGATTGCGTCAATAGATACATCTACTACAACAACATCTACGCCGGTTAGTAAAACGTGCACACACATACAAACACAAACACGCACACATAAAAATACACATACACAAAAACACACACACACACACACACACACACACATACATACATACAGCCCGAAACGAAAACGGCTTTCCAAGTTACAGATCTCCGGTCGGGAATGAATTTACAAGGGAATGGGAGCACTGGGATGTGCTTATTTTGGCGATCCCAATGGATGCGGTGAATGAATGAATGAATGAATGAATAATAGAATGAATGAATAATAGAATGAATGAATTGAGAGTTGATAAACTATTGATCACCTATACGGGTTAATGAAATTTTTGACTGCCCTAATTTTGTTTTTCGTTTAGGTTAATATAAATCTCCAAATTTCAATCATTTCCAAATTTCTGTGTTACTTACGAACAAAGACACGCTTTTTACTTATAATCTTCAACGAAATGTGTAAATTCAGAACTTTTTACGATTATTATTTTCATCCGTTTCATTCATTTATGTTTTAAAGCAGCTTGTCAAGATAAAAATAAACGAATAGATAGATATCTATAGATAGGAATCTATAGATTCCTACAACTTTTCTGGCAATCCTCATACCATCCTTAACGTCAGCAAACACAGTTGGCTGTGTAAAGAAACTATAGATATAGCTCATTTTTTTGTATTGTTTAAGACAGTTTTTATTTAAGGTAAGAAAAATGTGAAATTCGAAAACAATTTTTGAAATTTTTAATCATTATTTACTTTTAGCCATAGTTTTAAAATTTTGCATCTTCGTTACTTACACTAACGTTAGTTTTAAATATAAATTTATTTTTAAAATGTCGCCACCGTACTGTCCTTACATAATTCGGCTCGCACTTTACGGATGCACTAATCGTCCTTTCTATCACGTGGTTGTCGCCAAACACTTTAAACCCCGCGACGATCCGGGCGAAGAACAGTTAGGAACGTATGACCCCATGCCCAATAAAAACAATCAAAAATTGGTCTCATTCAATTTTCAAAGGCTGAGGTATTGGCTTGGAAAGGGGGCCAAAGTTTCGCAACCAGTTGAAGAACTTTTAGGTTGGAATCATTTTTATGGGATGTATATAGTTATTAATGTTGTAGTTATAGTTATTAATTAATTAATCTCATCTAGTATTTTAATATTCGTAATAGCTACCAATAAGTATATGCTGGCACTTCTTAGCCATGACCACCTTTTAATTTATTTTTGGAATTTCATTTGCATTGTATGTACATATCTTTTGTCCTGGTTATGACATTAAACTGACCCTCACTGCCTTGTGAGTGATGTTGGATCATCAAAGGCTAGGCCCACCGCTTATAACTGTGGTTGCGTAAGGAAGGGCGTCCTGCGTAAAAATTAGCCAAATAAATTACTTATGATGGAATGGCGTCGAGGGGTATTTCGGTTTCATCATAGGTAGCCAAACAGCAACCCCCGATCTCAGGAAAAATGTCGTCTAAACATGTGTTGTGTGTATGTACATATCTTATGTATTATTAAAACTTTTTCTCCTTATTAAGGACTGTGTGGTTTTTTCCCCATCCATCCAAGAACATACATGCTGGCAAAAAGAAACCAGAAAAAGATCATGGAAGAACAACAAAACCAAAGTAAAGAAGAAAATACCACTACACCTGAAACCACACCAGAGACATCTAACTCATAATTATTTCATATTTTATAAATAACCATTTATTTTACTGAATGTGATATGAGAATTTGTCTTAATAATTATAAATTTGAAATAAACTGAGTCCTTGTTTTAAAAGTTTTTAAATTATTAAAAAGTGTTTCATTTATTAGGTAACATAGCAGAAAATTCTCCACTACTGATTAGTTCTTTTACAATATCCAGTCCACCAACTAATTCTCCATTTATGTAAACTTGAGGATAAGTTGGCCAGTTCGAATATTCTTTTAATCCTTTAAAAAATAAGTTAACAGTTTCAAAATATTATTTGTAATAAAAAAACAAATTTAAATTTGGGATGATCAAGTAAAAATTTTGCTTACCTTGCCTAACGCTTTCGTCATTCAGTATATCAAATGATTTAAACTGAACTCCTTGCTCATTTAATAGCTGCACAAGAGTTTTGCTGAAACCTGTATAAGATGATTTTCTTAAATCACTATAGCAAAATTTGAAAAATACAAATTTATTGTGAAATAGATTATTGCAACCACAAAAATATTTAGTTGATGGTCGAAATGTGTTGAGAGAGACCTACCACATCTTGGTGTGTCTGGAGATCCTTTCATAAAAACCATGACTGGGGCTTGAGTGATGAGAGATTTCAGACGGTCATTCAAACTCTTGAAGATTTCAATATTTAAGTTTAAATTGAGAATGATTATGCTATTATTTTTGTAGAATAAATGAAAATAAAAGTGATTAGAGATATCAAAGAAATCTTCAGTGATTAGAGATATCAAAGAAAAATTCAAACACCACCTGAGTTGACTTTGAATTACAAGAAGCAAATTCTTCTATCTTGCTAACCAACTCAGCCACATTTGCACCATTTATTCTTGCAGCCTCTTTTAAATCCTAAGAAACCAAGAAAAATTTCAAATTTTTTCAAAATAGAAATAAGTGAATAACCTTACTTGAGATTGACTATGCCAATAAAATAATTGTTTCATTTGAAATTTTATGAAATTAAGTTAATATTGATAGCAATAACATTAAGAAACATTAAAAAAATATCTAACTTTAATAATTAAGCATGTAGGAACTGCTTCAACACCATATTTTTTAGAAATTTCTGGAAACTTTTCTGCCTGAATCTTGAAAAACAACACATATATATAAATAAGTAAATTACATTACAGTTACAAATTAATCCATATAAAAAACGGATTTAGTAGTTAATAGTTTAAACTTTCTAAACTTTAGTAGAGAATTTACCTACCTCTGCAAACTGGATGCAACTAATTGAAGATCTCTGGAGTTTCTGCTTTATCTCAAACAAAACTTCTTTGATCTGTTTGCACTGGGCTGCCCAATCAGCTGAAAAGTGTAGCACAAGTATGGACCTATAATATATAATTATAATATTTTATAGAATATTAAATTTAAAAAACTTTTTCTTTCTTAAAAATCTTAAAATTCCAATAAATTAACTTTTAAAATATTTAATCAAATCAAATTTTAACTACCTATATTCTATCTATACTAACTACTAAAAAATATTCTAAACTCTGCTAGACTAAACCTTAGTCACTGAAGCAGCTTTAGTAAAGCTAAAGATAAACTGACTAACTATAAAAACAAACTCCTCTAACTAAACTAAACCAAATTTAAAGTTAAAAAAAGGGCACACTAACGCGCTGCTCTCTTTTAGGACAGTGTCAAAATCTTGCTTAGAAGAAATTTCTTTGAACGAGCCTTCGGAAGACATGCCAAACTTTTAAGGACAAACTTACAATCACAAATATGATTGATTTATTAGATCACCACAATCACCAATTTGAATATCGCTCAGCGGTCTGAACAAAGATATTACACAAAAAACACCAAACTCATCAAAATGTGTCAAAAGCCTCAACTTATTTTCCGTTTAAAAAGGAGGAATAACTCAAGCATCTTGAAACAATTGAAAAAAATTTGCGATCAAATAACTATTTAAAACTTCTCATTCACGTGTTAGAACAAGTTTTCTAATCAACCTCCATCATGATTTAACGAAGAATCATTTATAAGATTTCAATCATTCGTTTTTTCAAATAAAATACAAATAAATAATTACAGTTCTAGCCATGGATATATACCCATAGTTCTAGCATCTAAATGAAATTTCACAATCAAACTCGAACTGTACAAAATTGAATGGCAAAAAGTATAGACATATTAACAAAAATTTTTCAAGAACCATCATAGAGATCATCACAACAAATGGAAAAACAACATATAATAATATTCACCGAAATAATGAAACAAAATAGCAAACAATTGAATAAAAATTAAACAATTGAAAATAAAGTTTGATTCTTATTGTGAAAAAAATACGCTACTCTACAAGGAATATAATTAAAGTTATTAGACATGTATATTGTTGGTATCAAACCAGACATTATTTGCTCCTTGAAGGCACTTTTATGGTCACCTTAAAATAAAAAAAAAACAAAAAACAATAAATAAATAATAAAACCCAAAATATATTAAAAAAGAAAAAGTTACATAGAGACAAAAACAAAAAAATATGAAGAACAAAAAACTTTATGCTGACAAAATTCATCTTTCATTCATTTATCCATTCATTCACTTAATTTTTCATTCATTCACTCATTCTTTCATTCATTCTTTTATTCGTCCATTAACAACAAAAATTTTAAAAATCTTTTCCATATGCAAACCGTTTTAACTTCTGTATAACTTCTAAGCCATACTCTCCCATCTCCCTACCATGCCCTGATGCTTTGAACCCGCCAAATGGGGCAGCCGCATCGAACACGTCATAGCAATTCACCCTAGTTAGAAAAAGATGAATGAATGAATGCATTAATGAATGAATGAATGAACGAACGAATAAACGAATAAATGAACGAATAGATGAAAGTAGAGATGAATGAATAAGTAGATGAATGAAACTATTAACTTTACCAGACAGTTCCAGCATCAAGTCTGTGCGCTAGGTAGAGAGCCTTTTCAATATCCTTCGTGTTTACAGCGGCCGCCAGCCCGTATTCAGAATCATTCGCTCTTTCTATGACCTCTTTCAAACTTTTGAATTTCAATATTTGCATCACTGGTCCAAAAATCTGGCGGTAAAAGAATAAATGAACGAATGAATGTACAGGTGAGTGAGTGAATGAGCGAATGAACGGGTAAAACTCCAACAACCTCTTCTCTAGCAATCCTCATGCCATCCTTAACGTCAGCAAAGACAGTTGGCTGTATGAAGTAACCCTTCCGATGTAATCTCTGGCCACCGGTGCATAACTTTGCGCCGTCTTTTTTGCCACTTGCTATTAACTGCATTATCTTATTTGCCTGTACTTCGTCCACCTTTTTGAAATTATGATAATAATAATAATAATAGTAACAATAATAATGAGAATAATAATAAATGATTAATAAAAATAATAATGAATAATAACAATTTTGATGAATGACAATTTATTACGAACTTGTGAAAACAATCAAAAAAGAGAAAACAAACAACAACAACACACGTTTAGACGACATTTTCCCCAACATCGGGGGTTGCCGTTTGGCTACCTATGATGAAACCGAAATATCCCTCGACGCCATCCACATCTGTCACTCGACTCAGTATCACGCAACCCCGCTTTCACCCTGTCCTTCTCCACCTGCTCTCTCCATCCCAATCGCGGACGACCCCTTCCTACCACTCCTTCAACTTCGAACTCCAACGCTCGCTTAATCCCGACCCTTTCATCCCTTCTCAACACATGACCTGGTTATGACAATGTCCTGGTTATGACATTAAACTGACCCTCACTGCCTTGTGAGTGATGTTGGATCATCAAAGGCTAGGCCCACCGCTTATAACTGGTTGCATAAGGAAGGGCGTCCTGCGTAAAAACTAGCCAAAAAATAATACTTATGATGACGGAAATTAAAAAAGAGAAAACAAAAAATTGACCTGAGGTCCTTGAACAACGTTGCCATCAAATGGGTCACCTACAACCATATTTTTGGCTTTTTCTACGGACTTTTCGACAAATTGGTCGTAAATATTTTCCTCCACAAAAATTCTGGACCCAGCACAGCAGCATTGCCCCTGGTTGAAAAACAAGCCAAAGTTTGCAGTGTCCACGGCCTCATCCACTGTTTTTTGAAGGTTGGAAAGAATTTATTTTTGCATATTAATATTATGGCTGCATCAATCAATGGTATTTATGCATTAGGGCGTTGTCTTATCATCCTCAACATCATTCTCATCACTCACACCATCAATAACTTGATCGTTATCATCATCGTTATCATCATCGTTATCATCATCATCATCTTCATCTTAACTTTACTAACAATCTGCATCGGCTAGCACGATATTAGGACTTTTGCCGCCCAGCTCGAGCGAGACTCTCTTCAGATTAGTCTGAGCCGCTGCCTGAGCTACGAGTTTACCCACCTCTGTCGAACCGGTAAATGCGACTTTGTGGATGTGGGGGTGGCGAGCTATCGCCTCCCCTGCTGTTGGTCCGAACCCCGGAATGACACTAATCACCCCTGGCGGAAATCCGGCCTTTTAAAGGATTTTATTGTTTAATAAAATATCTTTTATTGAACTTTTAAAAAATTTATGGTATAGTAATATACAATGTTTTAAAAAAATTAATTTGTTAAATTATTAAGTGAGCAAAGCTTTAATTTATTTTTATTTTATCTAAAAAAAATTATAAAGTATCTAACTTTGTGAAGATAAATTAATTGAGAAACGTCCACATTTAGGAATATACATCTTAAAAAAAAACTAACCTAAAAAATTCAGCAATAAAAGTTCAAAGACATCAAAACAAAACGAAAAAATGAAAGAAGAATTAAAAAAAACATTCACATAAAACCACCAACAGCACAAAAAAAACATTTCCCTAACTTCAGCTGAGAGGGCAGCAACATAATTGGCAGACAGCGGAGTCTGTTCGGCTGTCTTCAATATAACAACGTTCCCCATCGCCAGAGCCGGGGCCAGTTTCCATGCTTGCATCAGTAATGGGACATTCCACTATTTATGAATGTAGGTGAATAGGCAGATGATGGAAATAATAGGAGTTAAAAAAAAATGAAAATATGAATTTACTAGAATATTTTAATCTGAACCAATTTAGAAACCAATGAAGAAACAAACTTGGTTCAATTCAAACATTAATATTTTTATCTCTCACTCATAAAATCCTAATTAATTTATCTCATTTTTTTAACAATATATCAAAAACAAAAAAAAAAGAAACAAAGTCAACCAACAGGTATGATCTGACCACATATGCCAACAGGTTCATGCCTGGTGTAACTGAAGTACTCCCCATCTGCAAGTTAAAAGTTAATCTAGATAACAAATTTCATTCTTTTTATCCCTGCAAAACATATTACTATTACTACTACCACTACAACTACTACTGCTGTTGTTACTACTACCACTGCTGACCACTACTACTACACTTTTCAAATTACTTATTGGTATAGTCTTTCCATGGTTCTTATTTGCATAGCCAGCATAGTATCTGAATGATGATGTATCATAAATTTAGAATGAATTTTCAGAAATGGCGTTTAACCTAAAAATTTTAAAATGTTTAATTTGAATACAATAAGGTAATAAAAAGACTTAATTTCACTACAATACAGTAATTAGCACAAAAATTAAAGTAAATATTATTAATAATAGTTATCATATTATTAATTGTTGATATTTATGTACCTGTAGCATTTAATGGATAAATCCAAATCTGCATTGTAGGCATAGCTGTATGGTTTTCCATTGTCCAATGATTCCAATGACTAATTAAAAAATAATATTCTTTGTATTTGAGTTTAAAGAATTTGAAAAATTTAAGAACAGTACAAAAAAATATTAAAAATAATTTAAATAAATATAAAATTAATAACAAATTTGAAAATAATTAATAATTTTCATATTTAAGCTATATGGTCCTGGCGATAGGCAACACATTTCAAACTAGTTCCAATGAAAAAAACAATGGCTTGCTAATCAAAAAATAAATAATAAAATAATTGAAATATAACCATGTTAAATTTTACATTTAATAACTAAAGGCTGAACTAACAGCTAACAAAACACGATCTCTCTCGATAAGATCGGCCAATCTGTTTAATAGAACCCCTCTTTCAGAGGCATCCATCATTCTCCATGGTGATCCTAATTTGTATGCATCTCTGGCTGCCTTCACAGCTCTATCCACATCTGCCTAATTTCAATAATAGTTGTTATTAGTTATAAATTGGTCTTTAAAGATTGTGAAACATTGCAAAAAGGATAAAAATAACCTTGTCTCCTTCGGCTACTTCACAGATCACACTTTCGGTAGCTGGATTTATGGTTTTGAAAGTTTTGCCACACACTGAATCAACCCATTCATTGTTCAAAAATATCTTGAAAACGGAAATGGATCAATTGATCAAATTAGTTCATTTAATTAAGCAGAAATAAAATTTAATATATGTGTGTCTAGAGTCTAGACTAGAGAATGTCTTGATGAAAATATAAAACAAATTAAATGTCGTTTTATTAGGCATGATTTTTATTATGAAATTAAATTGAAATAGCACTTCAATGAAAAATCTAAAAAAATTTTATAAAACTTCTTTAATAAAAATACTACTTTTGTGTATTTCACGTCCGGTTTCTCAACAGGTTTAGGCAGGGTGGCCGCATAAGCCAAATGCAAATTATTATTAAATTTATTTAAATTTTTAATAAATGAAAAACTCTTTCTGATTAGTGCAGCTGACATTTTAGAATCGCAATTGCTACACAACCCTAGCAGATGAAAAGTTAGATTAAGCAGGTAAGTTAGGATTTGGGTTTTTACGTTTTAAAAAGAAAAAAAGTAGTTCAAACTGCTTATTTTGACAATTTTCAATGCATTTAAATGTTTTGTTAATTATTAATTATATAAAGCGTTTTACTTCTTATTGAAATGTAAATTTTATATTTTTCAATAAATGTATAATTTTCAATAAATTCTTACTCATATGCTTATAAATATGAAAAACATTCTTTATAATTTTACACATTTCTATTTGATTAACAAGATTCGATACTTATTTTACTGAATATAATATAAGAAGTTGTTTTAATAATTATAAATTTGAAATAAACTGAGTCCTTGTTTAAAAAGTTTTTAAATTATTAAAAAGTGTTTCATTTATTAGGTAACATAGCAGAAAATTCTCCACTACTGATTAGTTCTTTTACAATATCCAATCCGCCAACTAATTATCCATTTATGTAAACTTGTGGATAAGTTGGCCAGTTCGAATATTCTTTTAATCCTTTAAAAAATAAGTTAACAGTTTCAAAATATTATTTGTAATAAAAACAAATTTAGATTTGGGATGATCAAGTAAAAATTTTTCTTACCTTGCCTAATGCTTTCGTCATTCAGTATATCAAATGATTTGAACTGAACTCCTTGCTCATTTAACAGCTGCACAAGAGTTTTGCTGAAACCAGTATAAGATGATTTTCTTAAATTACAATAGCAAAATTTGAAAAATACAAATTTATTGTGAAATAGATTATTGCAACCACAAAAATATTTAGTTGGTGGTCGAAATGTGTTGAAAGAGACCTACCACATCTTGGTGTGTCTGGAGATCCTTTCATAAAAACCATGACTGGGGCTTGAGTGATGAGAGATTTCAGACGGTCATTCAAACTCTTGAAGATTTCAATATTTAAGTTTAAATTGAGAATGATTATGCTATTATTTTTGTAGAATAAATGAAAATAAAAGTGATTAGAGATATCAAAGAAATCTTCAGTGATTAGAGATATCAAAGAAAAATTCAAACACCACCTGAGTTGACTTTGAATTACAAGAAGCAAATTCTTCTATCTTGCTAACCAACTCAGCCACATTTGCACCATTTATTCTTGCAGCCTCTTTTAAATCCTAAGAAACCAAGAAAAATTTCAAATTTTTTCAAAATAGAAATAAGTGAATAACCTTACTTGAGATTGACTATGCCAATAAAATAATTGTTTCATTTGAAATTTTATGAAATTAAGTTAATATTGATAGCAATAACATTAAGAAACATTAAAAAAATATCTAACTTTAATAATTAAGCATGTAGGAACTGCTTCAACACCATATTTTTTAGAAATTTCTGGAAACTTTTCTGCCTGAATCTTGAAAAACAACACATATATATAAATAAGTAAATTACATTACAGTTACAAATTAATCCATATAAAAAACGGATTTAGTAGTTAATAGTTTAAACTTTCTAAACTTTAGTAGAGAATTTACCTACCTCTGCAAACTGGATGCAACTAATTGAAGATCTCTGGAGTTTCTGCTTTATCTCAAACAAAACTTCTTTGATCTGTTTGCACTGGGCTGCCCAATCAGCTGAAAAGTGTAGCACAAGTATGGACCTATAATATATAATTATAATATTTTATAGAATATTAAATTTAAAAAACTTTTTCTTTCTTAAAAATCTTAAAATTCCAATAAATTAACTTTTAAAATATTTAATCAAATCAAATTTTAACTACCTATATTCTATACTAAAAAATCTTCTAACCTCTGCTAGAATGAAGCTAAAGACAAACTAACTATAAAAACAAAAACTAATTAAAAACCTAAACTAAACTACTAATAAATAAGTCAAATCCAAATTTAAAGTTAAAAAAAGGCATACTAACGCGCTGCTCTCTTTTAGGACAGTGTCAAAATCTTGCTTAGAAGAAATTTCTTTGAACGAGTTTTCGGAAGACATGTCAAACTTTTAAGGAACTAACTCACAATCACAAATATGATTGATTTATTAGATCACCATAATCACCAATTTAAATATCGCTCAGCGGTCTGAACAAAGATGTTACACAAAAAATACCAAACACATCAAAATGTCAAAAGCCTCAACTTATTTTCCGTTTGGAAAAGAGCAATAACTCAAGCATCTTGAGACAAATGAAAAAAATTTGCGATCAAATAACTATTTAAAACTTCTCATTCACGTGTTAGAACAAGTTTTCTAATCAACCTCCATCATGATTTAACGAAGAATCATTTATAAGATTTCAATCATTCGTTTTTTCAAATAAAATACAAATAAATAATTACAGTTCTAGCCATGGATATATACCCATGGTTCTAGCATCTAACTGAAATTTCACAATCAAACTCGAACTGTACAACATTGAATGACAAAAAGTATAGATATGTTAACAAAAATTTTTCAAGAACCATCATAGAGATCATCACAACAAATGGAAAAACAACATATAATAATATTCACCAAAATAATGAAACAAAATAGCAAACAATTGAATAAAAATTAAACAATTAAAAATAATGTTTGAAATCTTCATTGTGATGAAAAATTCGCTACTCTACAAGGAATATAATTAAAGTTATTAGACATGTATATTGTTGGTATCAAACCAGATACTATTTGCACGTTGAAGGCACTTTTATGGTCACCTTAAAATGAAAAAAAAACAATAAATAAATAAATCATAAAATCCAAAATATATTAAAAGAGAAAAAGTTATATAGAGACAAAAACAAAAAAATATGAAAAACAAAACACTTTATGCTCACGAAATTCATCTTTCATTCATTTATCCATTCATTCACTTAATTTTTCATTCATTCACTCATTCTTTCATTCATTATTTCATTCATACATTAACAAAAATTTTAAAAATCTTTTCCATATGCAAACCGTTTTAACTTCTGTATAAGCTTCCAAGCCATACTCTCCCAACTCCCTACCATGCCCTGATGCTTTGAACCCGCCAAATGGGGCAGCCGCATCGAACACGTCATAGCAATTCACCCTAGTTAGAAAAAGATGAATGAATGAATGCATTAATGAATGAATGAATGAACGAACGAACGAATAAATGAACGAATAGATGAAAGTATAGATGAACGAATGAGTAGATGAATGAAATTATTAACTTTACCAGACAGTTCCAGCTTCAAGTCTGTGCGCTAGGTAGAGAGCCTTTTCAATATCTTTCGTGTTTACAGCGGCCGCCAGCCCGTATTCAGAATCATTCGCTCTTTCTATGACCTCTTTCAAACTTTTGAATTTCAATATTTGCATCACTGGTCCAAAAATCTGGCGGTAAAAGAATAAATGAACGAATGAATGTACAGGTGAGTGAGTGAATGAGCGAATGAACGGGTAAAACTCCAACAACCTCTTCTCTAGCAATCCTCATGCCGTCCTTAACGTCAGCAAAGACAGTTGGCTGTATGAAGTAACCCTTCCGATGTAATCTCTGGCCACCGGTGCATAACTTTGCGCCATCTTTTTTGCCACTTGCTATTAACTGCATTATCTTGTTTGCTTGTTCTTCGTCCACCTTTTTCAAATTATGATAATAATAATAATAATAATAATAAATGATTAATAAAAATAATAATAAATAATAATAACAATTATGATGAATGACAATTTATTACGAACTTGTGAAAACAATTAAAAAAGAGAAAAAAACAAAAAATTGACCTGAGGTCCTTGAACAACGTTGCCATCAAATGGGTCACCTACAACCATATTTTTGGCTTTTTCTACGGACTTTTCGACAAATTGGTCGTAAATATTTTCCTCCACAAAAATTCTGGACCCAGCACAGCAGCATTGCCCCTGGTTGAAAAACAAGCCAAAGTTTGCAGTGTCCACGGCCTCATCCACTGTTTTTTGAAGGTTGGAAAGAATTTATTTTTGCATATTAATATTATGACTGCATCAATCAATGGTATTTATGCATTAGGGTGTTGTCTTATCATCCTTAACATCATTCTCATCACTCACACCATCAATAACTTGATCGTTATCATCATCATCATCATCATCTTAACTTTACTAACAATCTGCATCGGCTAGCACGATATTAGGACTTTTGCCGCCCAGCTCGAGCGAGACTCTCTTCAGATTAGTCTGAGCCGCTGCCTGAGCTACGAGTTTACCCACCTCTGTCGAACCGGTAAATGCAACTTTGTGGATGTGGGGGTGGCGAGCTATCGCCTCCCCTGCTGTTGGTCCGAACCCCGGAATGACACTAATCACCCCTGGCGGAAATCCGGCCTTTTAAAGGATTTTATTGTTTAATAAAATATCTATTATTGAAATTTTTAAAAATTTATGGTATAGTAATATACAATGTTTCAAAAAAATTAATTTGTTAAATTATTGAGTGAGCAAAGCTTTAGTTTATTTCTATTTTATCTAAAAACAATTATAAAGTATCTAACTTCGTGAAGATAAATTAATTGAGAAACGTCCACAACATTTAGGAATATAAATCTTAAAAAAAAATAACTAACTTAAAAAACTCAGCAATAAAAATTCAAAGAGACAAAAACAAAACGAAAGAACAATTGAAAAAAAAACATTCACATAAAACCACTACCAGCACAAAAAAAACATTTCCCTAACTTCAGCTGAGAGGGCAGCAACGTAATTTGCAGACAGTGGAGTCTGTTCGGCTGTCTTCAATATAACAACGTTCCCCATTGCCAGAGCCGGGGCTAGTTTCCATGCTTGCATCAGTAATGGGAAATTCCACTATTTTTGTAAATAGGTAAGACATTTTAGTTAATGCAAGTATCTTTATGTTTACTTTTTGTGTCTTAGAAGAAATAAATAAAAAAATAAAGTTGATTAGGCAGATGATGGAAATATTAGGAGGTAAAAAAAATGAAAGTATGAATTTACTAGAAAATTTTAAACCAATATAAATACCATTTTAGAAACAAACTTAGTTCAATTCAGACATTAATCCTAATTAAAAATCCTAATTAATTTATCTCAATTTTTTAACAATCTATCAAAAACAATAAAAAAGGAGCAAAGTAAACCAACAGGTATGATCTGACCACATATACCAATGGGTTCATGCCTGGTGTAACTGAAGTACTCCCCATCTGCAAGTTAAAAGTAAATCTAGATAACAAATTACAATTTTTATCTCACTGCAAAATAAAAAATAATATCCATTGTATTTGAGTTTAAAAAAACTATTACTACTACCACTACTACTACTGCTGCTGTTGTTACTACTACCACTGCTGACCACTACTACTACACTCTTCAAATTACTTATTGGTATAGTCTTTCCATGGTTCTTGTTAGCATAGCCAGCATAGTATCTGAATGATGATGTATCATAAATTTAGAATGAATTTTCAGAAATGGCGTTTAATCTAAAAAATGTTTAATTTGAATACAATAAGATAATAAAAAGACTTAATTTCAATACAATACAGTAATTAGCACAAAAATTAAAGTAAATATTATTAATAATAGTTATCATATTATTAATTGTTGATATTTATGTACCTGTAGCATTTAATGGATAAATCCAAATCTGCATTGTAGGCATAGCTGTATGGTTTTCCATTGTCCAATGATTCCAATGACTAATTAAAAAATAATATTCTTTGTATTTGAGTTTAAAGAATTTGAAAAATTTAAGAACAGTACAAAAAAATATTAAAAATAATTTAAATAAATATAAAATTAATAACAAATTTGAAAATAATTAATAATTTTCATATTTAAGCTATATGGTCCTGGCGATAGGCAACACATTTCAAACTAGTTCCAATGAAAAAAACAATGGCTTGCTAATCAAAAAATAAATAATAAAATAATTGAAATATAACCATGTTAAATTTTACATTTAATAACTAAAGGCTGAACTAACAGCTAACAAAACACGATCTCTCTCGATAAGATCGGCCAATCTGTTTAATAGAACCCCTCTTTCAGAGGCATCCATCATTCTCCATGGTGATCCTAATTTGTATGCATCTCTGGCTGCCTTCACAGCTCTATCCACATCTGCCTAATTTCAATAATAGTTGTTATTAGTTATAAATTGGTCTTTAAAGATTGTGAAACATTGCAAAAAGGATAAAAATAACCTTGTCTCCTTCGGCTACTTCACAGATCACACTTTCGGTAGCTGGATTTATGGTTTTGAAAGTTTTGCCACACACTGAATCAACCCATTCATTGTTCAAAAATATCTTGAAAACGGAAATGGATCAATTGATCAAATTAGTAAATTAGTTCATTTAATTAAGCAGAAATAAAATTTAATATATGTGTGTCTAGAGTCTAGACTAGAGAATGTCTTGATGAAAATATAAAACAAATTAACTGTCGTTTTATTAGGCATGATTTTTATTATGAAATTAAATTGAAATAGCACTTCAATGAAAACTCTAAAAAAATTTTATAAAACTTCTTTAATAAAAATACTACTTTTGTGTATTTCACGTCCGGTTTCTCAACAGGTTTAGGCAGGGTTGCCGCATAAGCCAGACGCAAATTATTATTAAATTTATTTAAATTTTTAATAACTGAAAAACTCTTCCTGATTAGTGCAGCTGACATTTTAGAAAAGCAGTTGCTACACAATCCAAGCAGGTGAAAAGTTAGGTTAAGCAGGTAAGTTAGGATTTGGGTTTTTACGTTTTAAATAGGAAAAAGGAATTCAAACTGCTTATTTTGACAATTTTCAATGCATTTAAATGTTTTGGCTAATTATTAATTATATCAAGCGATTTAATTCTCATAGAAATGTATATTTTATATTTTTCAATAAACTCTAACTCATATATATATATATATAAACATTCTTTATAATTTTACACACATCTCTATTTGATTAACAAGATTCGTTACTTAAATTCCGTTTTCTCACGGTGTCTTGTTATTTCAAAATTTCAATTAAATATAATAATAACAAACTTTGATTAAAAACTGCGTTAGAATGTTGATAAAAGTCAAAACGTTAACCGGAAAAGAGATAGAAATAGATATCGAACCCACGGACAAAGTTGAACGAATCAAAGAACGTGTGGAAGAGAAGGAAGGCATACCTCCTGCTCAACAAAGACTAATCTTCAGTGGCAAACAGATGAATGACGAAAAAACTGCCGCTGACTACAAAGTAACTGGGGGCTCGGTTCTCCATCTTGTCCTAGCTCTCAGGGGTGGTACCGACAGATGATGGAGATTTCTTTATTTACTACTTGTTCTAAAAATAAAATAATTAAAAAAATGGAACTTTTTTTTTCTCTATTTTATTAGTAGATTTATCATTTTCACATCAATTTTTATTTCGTAAAAAGAACAATTTTGTTATGTAAACGAACTTACTCATAAAATAATTTTTGAATTCACTAGTTCATAAATAAAGTTTTTGTTTGATTTTTCTTCACATTTTTTTTCAGAACATGATTAAACAATCAATTGAATATTATTAAAATTCTAAAACTCGTTGATAAAGCCTTTTAAGTTGTTGCTACTTGATAATTATTTCAAAAATATACATTTACAATAATACATAACTTTGCCTAAATCTAAAGTTAATACTGATTTAAAGCATTTGAGTTCTAGATGTTTAAAATCATAAGAACAGTATACACAATTTATTGTTTACCAGATAAAAATTGTGATTCTATCTAGTGAAACTTAATCTGAACATTTTATTCTCAAGCCAAATCATTTAAAATAGAGAATGTTGGTACTTTATTGTTGTGATGAATGGCAAATAGTTTATTGAGGACAAAATTTTGAAACATTATCAAATATTCTAAATCGTATTTTTAACATTTACTTTTCAACTATTTACACAAGAAAACAGGCAGGTTAAGCAGGCTTGGGTTTTTACGTTTTAAACAGAAAAAAAGTAGTTCAAACTGATTATTTTGACAATTTTCAATGCATTTAATTGTTTTTGTTAATTATTAATTATATCAAGCGTTTTAATTCATATTGAAATGTATATTTCATTTTTCAATAAACTCAAATGCTTAAATATTTTAAACATCTCTATTCGATTAACAAGATTCGTTACTTAAATTCCGTTTTCTCACGGTGTCTTATTATTTCAAAGTTTCAATTAAATTAAAAAATAACAAACTTTTATTAAAAACTGCGTCAAAATGTTGATAAAAGTCAAAACATTAACCGGAATAGAGATAGAAATAGATATCGAACCCACGGACAAAGTTGAACGAATCAAAGAACGTGTGGAAGAGAAGGAAGGCATAACGCCTGCCCAACAAAGACTGATCTTCAGTGGCAAACAGATGAATGACGAAAAAACTGCCGCTGACTACAAAGTAACTGGGGGCTCTGTTCTCCATCTAGTCCTAGCTCTCAGGGGTGGTGCATCAACTACCAACTGATGATTGTGATTTCTTTATTTACTACTTATTTATTCCAAAAATAATTTTTAAAAAATGTAACGTTTTTTTCTCTATTTTATTATTAGATTTATCATTTTCACATCAATTTTTACTTCGTAAAAAGAACAATTTTGTTGTGTAAACGAACTTACTCATTAAATAATTTTTAAATTTACTAGTTCATAAAGTTTTTGTTTGTTGTCTCTTCACATTTATATTTTTTTTCAGAACATGATTAAACAATCAACTGAATATTATTAAAATTTAAAACTCGTTGATAAAGCTTTTTAAGCTGTGGCTGTTTGATAATAATTCCAAAAAAATACAATTACAATAATACATAACCTTGCCTAAATCTAAAGTTAATACTGATTTAAAGCATTAAAGCAAAATCATAAGAACAGTATGCACAATTTATTGTTTACTAGATAAAAAAAACCTGATTCTATCTAGTGAAACTTCATTTGAACATTTTATTCTCAAGCCAAATCATTTAAAATAGAGAACGTGGGTACTTCATTGTTGTGATGAATGACAAATATTTTATTAAGGACAAAATTATGGAACAACATAACAAAGCACTTCTAAATCATATTTTTAACATTTATTTTTCAACTATTTACACATGAAAACAAGGAACTGACACAGATTAAATGGAATTTAAGCCTTCAAAATCAATTTACACATTTTATTTAGTTCTTTTGGGTTGGATTTCATTTGAGATTTCATTTGATTCGTCTTGAGGACGTTTTTTAGGTCTGGGGTCTTGCCCATCTTGTCTGTATCTGATAGTCATTTTATTATTTTTTTTATACAACATTTTTAAGTCTTGTTATTTAATATCAATATTATTAATGGTTTATAAATAATAGTTACTCATGAAATAAGATCGTTTAATGTATAAATAATTGGTTAGAACTTATGCTACAAGTTAATAATATGCTAATATTGAGAGATAAATTTTAAATAAAATGTATTCGGGACCTGTTGTCATTCCGGTTTCTATTATAATTACTGTTGTCATTTCTGCTTTGCTGTGAGTAGTTCTGTTGTTGACTATGACCTCTGTTCTGATTATAATTACTGTTGTTGGTATACTGTTGTGAGTAGATGTGCTGAGATCGGTTTTGCTGCCAGTTACTGTTTTGCTGATTATGATCATAACCTGGTCTGAACTGGTTGTGTTGATAGTTCCGCCTGGACTGATTATGATCATAGTGTTGCTTTGAATTATTATTATTATTGTAGTTTCCTCTCTGTTGGTGATGATTATTAAAATGCTGTCTAGGTGGCTGAGCCCAGTTAGGAACTATTGGAGGTGTGGTGTGGGCAGGAGTCTTTACATATTCTAAATCCTTCTCTGTGTATCTATCTCTAAATAAATTTTCATAGAAGGCCTCATCTTCTACCTCTGGCACATTTCCAACACCTGGTCAAATCAATATAATATATCAATTGATTGGGTAGGCTTTTATTAATAACATTTGCTTCTTATATAATAGTTCCAAATTTAAATTAATTTTGAAAAATAAAAATATTTATTACTTTTGTCGTTATCTTGACTATGAGACATGATGAAACTGCAGAAACAACTCTGCTTGGCTATTTAATTTTTTTTATTATAAAATATAAATAAATATTTTTACATCCAATTAGTAAAAACTAATCTACTAAGCAAATGTGGCGCAGATCGGCGATCTGAATCTAGTGGTATATTTTAAGAAAATAAATTTGTATTATTGAAATATTTCACGTAAGAACAGCGTGGTTGAAGTTAAACACAAAACTTTAACAAATTAATCTATGGCCATTTTTAAATTAAATACAATCTAAACAAAGTTAGCTCCATCTTATAAAATAATGAATAAAAGTACAGTAAGCCGATGAAGTTTATTTAAAAACTTTTAATAACATAATTTAAAATATTAAAACGATTGTTTTACTGCTTAAACAAATAACTTAAAATTAGTTTTTAATTCATTTATGTTTAGTGATTAGTTTTTTTTATAATTTAATGTTAATTTAACCAATTTATTACTTTCGTTATAAAAGTATCAGTAAGCCGATGAAGTTTATTTAAAAACTTTTAATTACATAATTTAAAATATTAAAACGATTGTTTTACTGCTTAAATAAATAACTTAAAATTAGTTTTTAATTCATTTATGTTTAGTGATTAGTTTTTTTTTATAATTTAATGTTAATTTAACCAATTTATTACTTTCGTTATAAAAGTATCATAATTCTTACTAAACATGCTTTTTCAATGATAAGCAAAACTAAATTTTGTATGAAAATCACAAATGTTTCTGACGAATGTAAAATAAAAGTGAAAGTAAACGAATTTGATGAATATTTTGTAAATTTTATAACCATAACTCCATCTCTATATTTACCTGCGTGTTTATAACAATCACACAGGTGATATGAACGATTTCTAAAGGTTGTGATTTTTCGCGAAAATGAACGAAAATGCTCTCATTTGGTTTCAAATTTCAGTTTTACTGTTTAAAATATGTTAGTGTCGAGTGGTGTTTTAATAATGTTTCCAAAATATTTCAATTTTTTTTATTCGTATTTTTATTATTTATGTATTTTTGATAAATTGACTTTTTTAACAACTACAAATCAACAAAAATAGAGTTAAATTTTTTTTAAATTATCTCGATAATAATTAATGTTTACATTTTTTTAAAATATTCAGTATTATTTAGTGTTACACAACATTTACTAACCTTCTAATTGAAGCCTTACTTCGTTTAATAACTAACGTATGAATGATCATATATATATATATATATATATATATATATATATATATATATATATATATATAATATATACGTATAAATAAGACATTAAGGTATACCGGAATTGAGCTATAACACTTCTGCATTGTAATTTAACGGTTATTTTGATGTTTATTTTTGCTGAATTTTATAGATGTATGTCGTTAATGCTGTTGTTGCCTTCAGTTAATTTTATAATGGATAAATATGATAGGGCACTACCAGTGCATAGTATAATAACGTAGTATTATATAGTGATGTTATAGTTATAATAATACATTCATATTTCCAGGCAGTGCCCAAGATCCAACAGTCATGATAAGAGATACAGTACCAGAAACAGAGGACAATAATATAATTGTTGTAGAACGAGATACAGAACTGATTATGAACTGCTATGTGGAGAATTTATATCAAGCATATTTGGTCTGTATATCAAAAGGCTATTTTTTAATCTCATTTGTTCTAATGTTTATGAAAAATTTTTATAATAGAAACGTTCAGAATAAAACTTACATAATGAAATATGTATATCTCAATGAATCTTAAGCTTTTCGCTCTACTTTTGAATTAAACCCATACAAAATTTGACAGTTAAGATGGCAGCGGGAGTACATTGACAAAGATGACGGTTTGTTCAAAACCCAATCCATCTCTCAAGACATGGCTCTGGACGACAACATCCACTACAGTATCGAGAAACCGTCGCAGTATACGTGGAGTTTGCGCGTTCGTGGTGTGCAAGTTGCAGACGAGGGCAGGTACATCTGCTTCGTCCAAATGACGCAGATAAGTAGATCGAAAGATTACAGGGATGTTAAAGTTATAGGTTTGTCTTCTGTCCGAATTTGTAATATTTCAACCAGATTAGTGCAAATCAGATCAATTAGTTAGTGCAGATTTAGTGTTGCCATTTATGCAAATTTAGTTTAACACTCAATCACGTTTTTCAACTTCTAACATCATCGTACATTACAGACAATAGTTCTTTTTAGTACGTGAACCAAGACCGGGCGCTTTTTTATGCCACATCGTCCATTTGTATCTGAAACTTCAAATAACTGAAATTAAATGGTTTTATACTAATCCACAGTGAAACCGTTTTTTGAGCCTCAAAATATCAGCCCTGACTCGTCAGCCAACGAAGGGGAGTCGTTGAATTTGATTTGTAACGCTACAGGCATCCCCACTCCAAATGTTATCTGGAGTAGACTAGGAGGTGCCCTGCTCTCCATTGGACAAGAAAAATATGAGGTCATTTTTTTAAATTTATTATGTTGGTACTCAAGTTTATTTCAAGATTATTTTTAATTATAATTTGTTAATAATAATTGGTAACTCTGTAGTTAGCTAATTTAGTTTAAAATGTGCCTCTATTTTGCAGGGGTCACAGCTCTCGCTCAGAAATTTGCAAGCAGGCGACAGAGGCACGTACAGGTGCACGTCAATGAACGGCTACGGTACAAATGCTCACGACGTCGAAGTCGATATCAAATGTTAGATTTTGTAAAAGGAAACTCTTTAACCGATAAATTTATTTCAAATAAAATTTTAAACTAAATTCTTACGAAATCCAAACAGTCAAACCAATAGTAACCGTCGGTAAGCTAGTTTACGAGCAAGCGGTAGGATATCGAATCGAGCTTCAATGCTTCATTGAATCGAATCCTCTTCCTAAGACGGAACTTACTGCTTGGATAAAAGGGACGACCACTTTTACTCAATCGTCGGATAGGTACACGATTAACTGGATCGAAGGTGCCTTCAACAGGATGACGTATGAACTGATTATAAAAAATGTTCAGCCTGAAGATTTCGGAACGTTTTCATGCAGAGTTACTATTGATGAAGAAAAAAAGAGTTCAACCGCTGGGACAATAACTTTGAAACGTTTGTAATTTGAAATCTATTTGTTCAAAACAGTTTTTGTGAAGATTTTTCAAATTAAATTTTTTATCTATCTACCTTCATGCTAGAGGTGAGCATGGGAACGGGAATCGAGAGAATCCCATGGCATAGGATTCCCATGGGAATTGGTGCATATGTGATCGACGTATACACATAGGCACACGCGATAATCTATATACAACTATATATAACTCTGTATAAGTCTATAAAACTCTATATAACCTTATATAACTCTATACAACCTTATATAACTCTATATAATCCTATATAACTCTCTATATATATATATATATATATATCCATGGTTTCTTCTTAAATGGTATCATTTTAACTTTTTAACTGTGATATTTTTGAAATATTACCGCAGAGTCAGACAAACCACAGCCATCCATCAAGCTAGGAAGAGTGATAGGTGCCAATGAGAATCCCGAGGAATCATTTTCCCATCAAGTGACAGGTGTTTTATGGTTGACGATTCTCACGGCACTATCTTCTCTAATTTTATCATGCTAACTGTATACAAAATTTGTACAATTTTTTTGTTTTTACACCGTTTTAATGTTTTTATTTTCTAGAAAAAAACTTAAACGTTATCGCTCATTGTTCTGCATTTCATTTTTGCATTCATTTCGACTAATTTCTAATGACTTTATAATAACATGGTTCTTTAATGGAAACTTGAATTCAATCAATCAATCAATCAATCAATCAATTAGCACTATTTCCGCAATTTTCAACAGCGCTCCTCAATGAATTTTTCAAACAGATGGTTCTTGAGATCCGCTCTGAACTTCTTAAGTGATGGAGAAATAGTCAAAGAAGTAGGTAGAGAGTTCCAGAGAATTGGTAGAATTTAGCAAATGTTATTAGTAAGAGTATTAAAAACGAACAATTTATGATATGGTTCATTCCCGAGGGCTTAATAGTTTAACAAGGTTGTTAATGCATGCCGACAATTTAACTACGGTTTTCCATGAATAGCTTGTCATTTTTTAAATAGTGGGCGCCGTGTAACTTTTTTTTTTATTTTTTATAAATAATTTAAAAGTTAATTCCGCTCCGTTTGAGAATTGTTTCCATTATTTACTTTTAATTTACTCACGCCAAAATTAGAAGTTTAGTTAGTGTATGAAAATTTCGCGCATTCCTAATTCTTTTTGAACAGTGTAATTAGTTATTTTACACTACGATTTTTGTATCTATTTCAATTTACTGTCGGAAACTGCACACAAATTCTCAAACAAATGTAAAAAGTTTGGGGTGTTATTTATAATAATTATTTTTATGAATATAAATTTTAAATTTTATTAAAATAAACTTAATTGAATAATGATTATTTTTATTAACATCGACTCTCTAAAAGTCTAAACAATTTAATAATTGAATTTCACTAGGAACCTTAGTTAGACTTACCTAGCTTAGTCCTTAGTAGTGTAGTGTAGTAATATAGTCAGTCTTCTCTTCACTTCACTCTCCTTAGTGACCAAGACTGGCTTAGTCCTTGGTACTTAGCTTAGTGATTTTAAAATTTAACTGCTTTGTTTTCAAGTTGAAAATTTTTAAATTATTGAACTGTGAGGTGATCTTTCTTTAGAGTCTAAATCTAAACAAAATGTCTTCTTTGTTACTGGACAAAATAATGAAAGATGCCCAGCAACTTGTGGGGAAATTGAAGCAGAATGAGAATCGAACAGAAGACATCATCAATATGTTTCAAACTTTGCAGAATAAAGTTAATGATATGAACAAGGTTAGCTAATAAAAAAAATTATAAATAATAATGAAAAAATTCATGATGTTTTATATATAAATAGGTTGAATTTCTAAAATTCATTTTATATTTTTCATTATTGTAAAAATATTTTAATAAAATAAAATTTATTTTGATTATAACAACATTACTGAATTGTCTATGCTATCTATAGCAATGAAATTTAAGAAAAAATTAACTTATCATGATTTTTGTTTTTGTTTTAAGTACCAAGATGTCTCAGGGATGCCTCAAGTTCAAGTTGACCTTCCTCTGCAAATCCTAGATTTTTCGTTGCTACCCGAAAACCAAAAAATCAAAGAATTAGAAGCAGAAAACGAGGAACTAAAAAATCATTTAGAAGAGCATCAAATAACTTTAGAGCTGGTTATGAGCAAATACAGAGAACATATCAACAAACATCTTAATAAGAATACTTTAAGTTCTTCTCTAGATAGTAAAACTCATCAAGATAACCTGAATGTTTGTGGAATTTTTATGTTTTATTAATTTATTGATTAATTGACTAATTAATTGATTAATTAATTAATTCATTTATCAATTAATTAATTAATTCATTCATTTGCTATTCACATGTTACTCTCATTACTCAATTAAAATTATTTTTTACCCAGCTCCTTCACAATAAAATCATCTCCATAAACGAAATGGGTGAGACGATGTGGAGGGCTCTGGCGGCAGAGGTGGAAGTGGCCACAGAGGACATTGTGGCCAAAGGAAGCAATGCAGAGGACGCAGCCAACGACGATGAGGACGACAACCGGAAGCGAAAACTCACCCAGCTCCTGAAAGAATACCACAACCTGAAGCAACTTCTCGACGTCAGCGCTACGTTCGGCAACAATTGCCTCTTCGATAGACAAAAACTCGACCTACTCTACGACCGCAGAAGGCCAATTAACTGTTTTGAGAATGATCAAAATGTGTCCATTATAGAAAACAAGAAATTAGGATATAACGTTAATTGCGATGGTAATGACGACGACGATGGCGATAATAATAATAATAATAATAATAATAACATTAATAATAACAATAATAGTAGCAATAGTAATAATAATAATAACAGTAGTAATGATGATGACGATTATGATAGTAATACTGAAGAGCCTTTTATGTATCAATCATCCCCTGAATCTAACCATTCCCAAATATACAATGACTCATCTGAATAGTAAAGGTAGTAGTAGTTGTTGTAGTAATAGTAATAGTGCAGAAGAATAAGTAGTAGCAGCAGCTGTAGTAGAAGTAGTAGTTGTAGTAGTAGTAGAAGGAATAGTAGTAGAAGTAAAAGCAGTAGTAGTAATCGTAATAATAATGATGATTGTAATAATAGTAAAATGAAAACCATTTTACTGATAAGTGATTATAGTAATAAAGTAATAGGTGATAGTATAGTATAGTGCCAGAGTATGTTATATTTCGGTTCCAAAGTTTAGTTATTTATTTTATTTAATTTTCGCCACGTTTCTTACAATCAAAAAACATCATATGCATGTGTATGTACGTGTGTAAGTTTGTTTTTTTTTTGTGTGTGCGTGTGTATGTGTGTTTGTATGAAGTTAAAATGATTTTGCTTTAATTTTACGCAAAAAAATATTTCAGTTTGTTTGCAGGCAATTATTTGCTTATAATCATAAGAAATGACATAAAGATCACTACTTTTATTGCAACTTAAAACACAGTATTTGAGTTAATATATGCTGGTGTCGTCAACATCTGTACCGTAAGAACTGTAACAACTATTAATCGTTATGTCGGTATAGGGAATTCTCGAGCCGGAGAACATCGAATCGTCGTCGGTATTTGTCGATGACGAAAACGACGACGATGATGGCGACAGGTCACAAATGACGTCATTGTTCTTCTTGTTATGGTTGGAATTACTTTGTAAGTAGCTACTGTTATTAACGTTACTATTTGTGTTGATGTTTGGAAGCGGTTTCGGTTTGCGGCCTCGTCTGCGTCTTGATTCCGCCGTACGGAACGCGTAAACTTTTACGTAACGTTGCGTGTCCATGAAACCTTTCACCATTGCCAGCAACGCAAATGATGGGCCCATGAAGTAGAGAAAGTTCAGCATCTCCGGCCAGATTCCTAAGAGTTTGTTTGAGAACTTTGTTGAAATTGGTGAGTTATGTCTATGAATTCTCGAGGGAGTCAGCAATAGTTAGTTACGTGTCAGTAGTGTTAGTTCACGCTATGTGTGCATACTAAGATTCATCATTGAGAACTACCGAAAAATACATAAACTAAGTAAAAAAATTTTAGAAATTGTTTTATTATAACCCCAAAGTTTAAATTATTTCAATTAAATATTATAACTGAACTCACTTGGTAGATCAGTTTTCCGTCTCGCTATTACTGATAGAAAGTAGTAATATACATTAATTTTAAAAATATTTACGATGCGTAAAACTAAAAATTGAATTAAAAAGCAAATTTTCTAATTAAGAATTAACAATCGACGCATACCGACTAAAAAGATATCCACAGTTACGTAGTGGTTAACGTAACAGCTATACCGGCCGGAATCGAAAACCGACATAAGATCGATCCGGACCGAATAGTCGGACAGTATCGAAATCCTGTGGTTCGATATGCTGTATATTTCCAATGTAGATACAAGCATTGATCCATTATAGTACCAGGCTGCCATTGCTAAGTCTAAGTAACTGTTGGATGTTGAATGGATTAATATTTTTTAATCAGGGAAATAATTTTATTCAATTGAATTAACATTTAGTTTTTGTGTTATTTATGAAATAATTAATATTATTTATAATTAATAAATTCTTGAAGCGTATTGTCGGTTTTGTCATTTTTCTAAATCGCCTTTTAAAGGTGTTACTCTTAAGTTAAGTTTCAATCTCGCATGTAAATCCTTTGAATGACTTTATCAAAAAATGCGATATTTTTCGAATTAATATGGTAATTTACTTCAAATCCTATTAAAAACTAGTGAAACATTTAAATTTAGTCAACATTTCGAAATTAAATTTTTTAAAAATTCAATTCAATTTGAAGTAATTCAATTTCTTGGCTTTGTAAAATCAAAAAATAGCGAAAAAAAGGCGAACCCTGGGCAAGGCAGTAATTCTGTGTCTAATTCTCTTCTGATTACTGTTACGAGGTCTCCTGGTAGTGTTAGTAGTAGAAGTAATATTAGCAGCAGGAGTAGTAATAGTAGCCGCTGCAGTAGTAGCAGCAAAAAAGCAGCAGCAGTAGAAGGAGAGTTAGTAGCCGAAGAAGTGACAGTAGTACTAAACTTCCTAATCGATTTTAGTAACCTTCTACTAAGGTGTTTTTTAGATTACTCCGCATTTTCGATTTAGCAAATGCAAATAGTCTGCCTAGAAGCGCGCCGATTGGTGTACTCAGGATGTACCTCTTTACCATTGTAAACATATCTATTGTAAAGTTGGAAGAATTTATGTAGAAAATGCGAATGAATGAATGAACGAACGAACAAATAAATGAATAAATAAGTGAATGTATTAATTAATTATTGAATGAATGAAAGGACGAATGCATGAATGAACGAATGAGTGAAAAGTCAGTGCATGGATAGATGTATGAATTTACGAACGAATGGGTTAGGGTTAGGAAGGAATGAATGAATGAATGAGCGAATGAATAAATGAATGATTGATTGAACACATGGATAAAAACCCGTAATCACCACCTTCACACTCGTTATCGCAATAATCAACTTGTACTTCCTTAGTGGCTTCTGCAAGAATGACACGTTTTGAGAAAATGGAAGACTGGCAGATTGCACCGAGAGGATATAACTTGAAAACGTATTCCAAAAATTCTGGGTGAGAGGGCTTGTTATCGTAGATTTTTCGAACTATACATTGAGCTAAAAGATGAGAAAAATTATTGTTAACCATAACAAGATACATTTGCCAGTTGTTTCATTAATTTTTTGTTTCTATAGTTCAAGTCTTGTTATCGATTTCTCGATAACTTTACATTGTCGGATTAAGCCAAGATTTTGCATACTTGCTTATGAGTGATTGATGAATGAATGATTGAATAAAAAATAATTACGTTAAATAACAATTATGGAATTAAATTTAATAAATGATATAATAATTATGAAATTGAATTATTAATATAATAACTACACGCTCGTTTCTTTTCTCCAGAATAACCGCAGTTACTGCATTCACCCCACTCACCCCATAGTGAGAACATAATCCAGTTTGCATCGGCTGTGAATGAATGAATGAGTGAATGAATGAGTGAATGAATGAGTGAATGAATGAAAGAATGGTTGAATTGATAAATGAATAAGTTCAATAGGTATTTACCATTTGATTAGTGAAAATAATAACATAAAAAATTCCTAACAGTTTTTACGTGGATTTCTTGGCCTGGGAAAGCCAGAAGTTTCAACGTTCGAAACTATAAATAAAAATATCAACAATAATAATAATAATTATTATTATTATAATACTAATACTTTGTGAAATATTTAATTCTACTTTATTTGTCATTATGATGGCTAAAAAATCACAGAAAGTTCTTTGGAACTGGAAAATTGTCAACTCAAAACAACAAAAGTTGTTTGGTTTAATAGAATTTGTAACAATTTTTTTCTCAAAAACTTGTGTTTTCAACCTTAATTTGAAAGTACTTGCTAGTGTGTAGTGCATCCTACATCAATCTTTAAAGTTAAACTCATATAATCCAGTAAAATAATTTATTAACTCTACATAGGAAAGGAAAGTTTTACAAGTTCGGTGATGAAATTTTATTAAACGAATACTGTTAATTAATACGATTAAATTTATAGCTAACCCCAGGATTGACAGAACTAACAATACTAATATAATTAAGCCATTAATGAATTTAAATAAAATAACATCCAGGAACTTTTGTTATTATGCACCTTATAAATGGAATAATCTGCCACAATATTTAAGATCAATTAATAATCTAACAGAATTTAAAAAGAAGTTGAGAACATTTTTGAATTGTTTAAGTTAAATGTATTAATATTTTATTCTTAATTTTATTCATTTTTTAAGTTTAAATGTATCGATGTTTTATTTCTAAGTTTATTCATGAAAATTTAAGAACATTGAAGAATTTAAAAGACATTTATGTTATTGTGTTTTTTTTATTTTTTTGATTACTTACTATGTTATTTCTTGTTTTATGGGAGTCAACCCTAGATAAGCATTTATTGCTAGGCTGACTTTTTTCACTTTTTTGTGAATAAATGGAATTAAAAAAAAAAAGTTGAAATAAAAAAAACCATCGATCAAATATTTAAATAAATGAATAGATAAATGAATAGTTGAGTACTTGAGATGTGAAACTCACCTATCATACTCTGTGTCACAAGTTCAGCTGAAACGAATGATTGATTGATTGAATGAATGAATGAATGAATGAATGAATGAATGAATGAATGAATGAATGAATGAATGAATGAATGATGAATGAATGAATGAACGAATGAAGAGATGAATGAAATGCGAGTCGATCCTCATTTTCTTAAAAAATATAAGTAAAAAAAAAACCCAACGTAAAAAACTTCGTATAGAACGAACCATCGATATAGACCATGTTACTGATTGCGCTATATCCGGACATTTTTTCCCAGGCCATCGCCATTGATATGGGGCTGTCCTCGTCCAAGAATTCCGCTCTGAATGTCACGTGGGCAGTTTCTGGCTTTTTTGACGAATTGTGAAAGGTGCAAAAATAGGCCCCCGCGTCAGCTGGTCGGTTTTCGAATATTTAAATAAAATAAAATTATATTCATAATTAAATATAATTATTGCTGTTAATCATCATTAATATTATTTTATAATCATTAATAATGATTGAAATAAATTTGGATTGGAAGTTATCGAAGTTGTGTTTGATAAAGAATTTGTACTTTATGCTCAACTACAAGTGAATAAGGAACAAATAAGGAACAAAAAACTGCATACTAGCTTGAAAATCCCTGATAACAAGCCTATGATCCGGTGTGGCGTAGATCCTGTTTAGCCTGTTGTTATCGTGTTTGTCCAGCTCGACCTCCTTAGCGTACCAGAGTGCTTCGTTGGCCACGTGCTCTCGGTGAAATTTAAACCAAGTTTTAGGGCCTAACTCTGAGTACTGGTCACTGAAAATTAAAAAAATTTATTTGAAAAAGTTATAATAGAAAAATTATTGGCGACTAAACGTTAATTTAATAAATTTTGCGGGTTAAGTGGGCTAAAAAAGTTTATCTATGAAATTAAGTAAAAACAATCTGACCAAATCATGCAAGGTACGTAAGTTATGCCTCCGATGGCAACAGTTACAGCCCAATAAGAAACTTTTTGCTTGTTCCCTTCATCGCATCCCTCTCCAACTTTTCTAATCGCTCTACCAAATCTTAGTCTCGGCTGTTGGGCTATGTTTATGATTTCACTGTTTTGAGGTTTTGGAATTAGTCTGGTGTCGATTGGATTTTTGTGTTTGTAGGAAGGGTATGGTTTGGGCTTGGGCTCATTAATTTCTCCGCAATAGAAATTAGCTTCTTGTAGTGTTTTGCCATATCTACATTCTCTGTCGGAAGCTACGTGAAAAATTGTTTTTTCAAAATGACGAAACCATTTACCTAAAAACTATAAATTTAGAATAAAATTCAAAATACTATACACGTACAGAAAAAAAGTTGTTTTAAATATACGAAATAAGAAAATATTTCTGAATTCATGCTAGCTGTACATAGGATAAACCTCGTTTTCTCATTTGGCTCAACTGGTCGCTAACCAATTCGTAGTCTGAATTAAACAAATTTTCAAATTAAAATGAAATTATCATTTAGTCTTTAATATTATTTGCTAAGTTACACGTACTAAGCTTGTCACTGGTATAATACCATTTCTCTTTGTGATTTTTAATGTCTGTTACTTCTATTCTTGCTTCAAATTCTTCAAATTTTAATTATAAATTGTTATAAAATGCATGTTTTATTAGTCAAAATCAAATTAATAGCATTACTAGCAGATGTAGAGATTTTTATAAGATAAATTATGTAAAAGATCCACAAATTTAGAGCCATTGTGTATTCAAAATTGATCAAAATCTCAAGAAATGTACACAGAAATCGATCAAAAAACGACGTCAATGTATTTTAAAGTTTATTTTTGTCCACAAAAACGTCATTTTTGACAGCGATGTGAAAATAAAACCTGCCTTTAGATGTAAGTTTAATCAAGTTTTATATTTCATTCACTTGTGCGGTAACAAACAAGCAAATAATAATCTTCATGTCTGATCTTGTGTGTATATGGTATACTCCGAATAAGTATTCATTAACAATTGAACGCTTCACAATGTTTTGAGGTTTTTTAAAAATTTAAAAGTAGATTTGAATGCTGTGAAACTCCTGTCAAGATTATTATTGAAAAACGAAATTATGGGTGTTGAAATTAAAGTTTTTGAATCCGAAAATGATGTGGCCACTAATTTAGTGGCTTTCATTTTGTCAGTGGCCTCTCAAACTATTCGCGGTGGAAAAAAATTTTCTATTGGCCTCTCAGGTGTGCCTCTCTTCATTTTTCCTTTTTAAAAAAAGTTTTAATTAATTTAATATCAATCTTCTAATTTTTTATAATTAATTGTTCAAATTAAAAAATGCTGTTGGTTTTCTAACAAAATAAATTAATAAACTTTATTTATATAACTTTATAATTGAACGTAACAAATTTCATATTACATACTTTCCATTAAAAAAGGTGGTAGTGTCATTAAATATTTCTCTGATGCAATCAAAAACACTGAAAGTGATTGGTCACACTGGAATGTTCTGTTCTGCGACGAGAGATACGTAAGTTATGATGACAAAGAAAGCACATATGGTGCATATTACGAACAGTTCTTCAAACACGTACCTATCCCCAAGGAACAAATACTCAACATTGATTATAAAATACCTAGTTTGGTATAGTTTTAATGTAATAATTAATAAAATTTTGAAAAATATTTTTTGGTGTTTATTTAATTTTTTTAATTATTTATATATTAAATAAATTATCTCTTTTCCCCTATGAACACTAAATTTGATTTTTTAAAAGTTGAGGACTCAGCAAAAGATTATGAAAATAGGTTGAAAAAGTTAGTGCATTGGGATGAGGGTAGTGATTTTCTTCCCATGGTTGACATTTTGTTGCTAGGGTTGGGCCCAGATGGGCATGTATGCTCATTGTTTCCTGGTCACACTCTACTAAAAGTGAATTTTGATTTTGGTTTCATTTCATTTAAAATTTATAATATCAATCAATTAAATTTATATATAGCCCAATTTCTGAAAATTCACAAACATTTTTACTATCATCATCATCTTTGCCATCATCATCGCCATCAGCACTGTTGTAATCATCATCCTCATCATCTACACCACAAACATCATTATCAGGAGCAAGAAAGATGGGTGGCTGCCATTACAGATTCTCCCAAACCTCCACCCAATCGAATTACTTTGACTTTTCCAGTTATAAACAATGCCAGAAATTTGGTTTTTGTTGCATGCGGGGAAGGAAAAAGTTCTATATTAAAGGTTGGGTGGTGTATCTATTTGTGTTACATGTATATATATATGTGTGTGTGTGTGTGTTTGTATTTGTGTGTGTTTGTTTGTGTTTGCTTGTGTGGGTTTGTGTATACAGTAATGATGATAGTGTGCCATTTATATAGCTCTTTATACATAACTTCCATTATGTAACATTAATCAAGGTTAACTTTTCATAATTTTTGCCAGGAAATACTTGAAAATAAGCGCCTTGATTTGCCTGCTTCTATGGTAAAACCAGTGAATGGTAACCTAACTTGGTTGTTAGACAGGAAGGCGGCGAATCTGCTAACACTTCCTAGTATTCAATATGTTCATGGTGATTTGTGATTAGTGTACATGATGTGGGGTTTTATTTTTGGACTGTTTTTAAATGAAGTTGTAGATAATAATTTTGTTAGAAGGCGAATGAATGAAGAAATGGTTGAAAGAATAGTTAAATGAATGAGTAAAATAATGAATGAATGAATGAACGAGTGACTGATTCCTGCAATCTATGTCGTTTTGATAGCAGAGTACAAATATGTCGAATTTGGCATTGTACTCTAATATATTACATGTACGTATCACGCTGTGCAGTCGTACGATCACAGTGTATGTGTGTTTTTATGTGTGTTTATGATTGTATGTATGCATGTCCGTATGTGTATGTTTGCGTATGTGTGTGCGTGCGCGTGCGTGTGTGTTATGTCCGTTATCATGCTGAATGTGTTTTAGTCAATCCTCTGTCATTGTTCGGTTACTTATTGCTGCTTTCACTGATTTAAAAATTCATTTGTTATAGGTTTTGATCAGTAAATGCTGTTTATTACTAAATAAAATCTCTAATTGTTTTAATTGCGAGTTGTTAGTTCATATATGTACAACAAATAGTTGACGTTAAACTACTATTATCGTTATAATTATCCTATCTTTTATAAACAAACATATTACAGAAATACATTTATCATTATTGCTCGCAATAGTATTATTATTAGTAGTAGAAGTATTATAACTGTTCAGTTTGAGTCAGGTTAAGTGTATATTCCATTACCCAAAGCTGATGACCTCTTGAGATATTCAACTTCGGAAGCAAACCAGCGATCTGCTGATTTTGATACGTCACCTGTGTTAAATAGACAGTAGTTTGGCAATCGTCAGTGAGAGAAAACAGTTCGTAAACTTTTCTTCTGCTCCGTTGTACTATGGCTCTTGTACCGTCGATGAGGTTCAGGCTCCATCGCTGATTGCATCTGAGAGAGAATGATGAAGAGCCGCAAGCTGCCAGGGTTACGTATCCCTTGTTACTTGCTGTTAAACATCCCCCGTCGCCGTACGTGATGGAGTTGTCGAAATTGAATGAGAAATCTTGGCTGGAGTTATGCCAGGCACACGAGATCATTTTTATGTACTTGCTGTTGCTGCTGCTGCTAGGCACAGTCATGCAAATTTTGCCGCGATAGTTTATAAGCTGGCCGTAATGTTTCGAGGTTGGTTTTGGCGTCGTTAATTCGGGTATGACGTTGTCTAGAAACCATTTAAAACTTTTACAGTTCAACCTTTTCCTTAAACGGTGTCGACTCATTAATTGAATTTCGTCGCTTGTCACCCTAGGCTTTGTGGCCGCGTAGTAAATGTGAGCGTAGTCGTCCAACCAAACGTCGACCAAACGTTGATTGTTCGTGTGCATTATATTCGCACCTCCGAGATCCTTTGGGAATGAGTAGGGAAGGAATTCCCTGAATAGATGTCCCACCCTCGAACAGGGAATTATCAAAATGGAGGCACCGCAGGTCCAACTTCTTATTGATATCTCCACATTCTCTCCGCCCCAGATAAACATTCCCGGATCGAAAGCTCCCAAATGAAAGAAATAATTCCTATCAATTGCAATAGCACATCCTAAAAGCGTCGGAGATGGAATCGGGTCCGTAACTCGTCGGTTTTGCAATCGATTTGGCAAAAATTTCCACACGAATTCCATCGTCCAAGTCATCCCGCCGTGAACAAGATAACTCCAGGCCGCATAATCCAGCGTATTCCGATCAATTGCATCTATTAGCGGTACAGCGATCGTGTTCGTGTTGTTTTTGATCGCTCTGAGAAGGGGAGGTAGCCAGCCAACGTTAACTTCCACGTGCCCATCTAGGAAAATTAAAATTTCGTGTTTGGCTCTTTTCGCTGCGGATATCCTGGATCGAATCAATCCTTCTCGTTTCCTGTTCAGTGTGATAATTATTTTATCACTCAAGACTTTGCAGTATCGTTGCAAGGGTGTTTTCAGGTAAGAATAATCACTTTTATCGTCCACTAATATGATCTCACCGAGTAAATTATCAGGCGTTCGTATCAGAATGCTATGTAAACTTCTCAAAAGAACCGACCAGTCTTCATTATGAAATGGGATTATAATGGATACTTTTGGAAAAATGTCGTAATCCTTATCGCCAGTACGTTTGCATTCATCTGGACGCGTGTCCGGAATATTCCGATTCAGTGGGATTGTATTGCTTACTGAAACGTTGAACTGGTAGGTTTTGTAGTTTGTGCGGCTTTCGTTTTGGGTTGGAAACAGCTTAAGGAGTTCATCCAGTGAGATTTTTTCAGTTAGCAATGGTTGGCTGTCGCGATGTTGTATGTTAAACAGGTAGATGAAGTATACACAGTATGCTATTAAACTTATTAGACTAAACCTTGTTATTGTGAATGGGAGATTCATAACTTCTCATAATTCACAATTAATAATCAACACCTAACAATTCATAATTCACAATTCATTAACTTACAATTCATAATTTAGAGCGGTTAGATTACTTTTTTCTACGTTGTCATCAAATCAGAACTTTGTAAAAATTGTTAAAATATTATTTTTACTAACAAACAAAATTATGCCATCACGCATAATTGAAATCCACACATAAAAACATTTTCAATGTACAAATTTCATCGCTACGTCCTACGATATATTAAAATAGTATCAGAATGTCAAACTAAAAAGGAAAGAGCAACATAAACTAAACACGTATATTTATGAACGTAAAACACATATCAATCATAAATACAATGTTAATATTTTATATATATATACGTGTGTGTGTGTGTGTGTGTGTGTGTGTGTGTGTGTGTGTGTGTGTGTGTAATTCTTTTTCTTATTCTTCGATTTAAGATCTTATAATTAAAGTGAAAGGAAATGCCAGCGAACTGTCAGATCAGCAGACAGATATATGTATTGTGTGGTAGTACATACATTGTATTGTATTTTATTGTGTGGTATTTATATTGTATTGTGTACTATTGTGTACAATACAATACAACACAGATACCAATCTGTGTTGTATTGTATTGTGTGGCATTTATATTGTATTGTGTGGTATTTATATTGTAGTGTATGGTATTAATGTTGCATTGTATTTGTGTGGTAGTGTATTGGCAGATGAAGTTTAGTCGAAACAATCCATCCATCATTCTGATTCAAGTCTGAAAAGCTTCTCAATATTATTATTATTATTGTTGTTGTTATTATTATTATTTTTATTATAATTATGATTATTATGTTGCGATTATAGGTATTGATTTCAAAATGGATGACTAGACGAATGAAAGAGGAAACAAATGAATGAGTGAATAAACAAATAGATGAATGAATGAATGATCGAATGATTGAATGAATTTATTAATCTATCTAATTTATATAGCGCAGTATTCAGGATGTTGAACTTAGAGAGGTAGGTTTGTCTTGAGATCAGTTCGGAACAACGCGAATCTGTGAGTGAATGAGTGAATGGGTGATAGACAGTGCAATCAAAAATTTATTTAAAATAAATAAGTAAATGAACAAATGGATAAATGAAAATGAATGAACGATTGAAAAATGGCAGTTAAATGATAAAATTTATTTGAAATTTAATGAAAGTTCATTCGATAGATTGATAATTTTCGTCAGACTTGCCTTCTGTGTTGACTATTGAACTCTTTGAAAACTAAACTTGTATAAAAGATTAATTTGTTGATTCATTAATTTAATTAATTTATTTATTTGTTTATTCATTTATTCATTTATTCGTTCATTAATTGATTGATTCATTCATTTATTGGTTTGTTTGTTGATTTGTTGGTTCCTTGGTTCATTTAACTATTCATTCGTTCATTTGCTTATTCGTTTATTCATTCAATCAATCATTTAATCCTTCATTCATTCATTCATCATTTTTTTCTTTTGTTCAGTTAATCAAACCAAATTTTGCATGTGATAGTTCTTGAATTATTGAATAGAATGGAATAGGTCTACTACTGATTGTGAACTTATAAATATTATTCTCTTGTCTTCTTATTATTTTTTTTCATATAATAATTATTTTATTGTTATCATTATTAACAACAACAACAACAACAAACAGCAAACACAACAACAACGAACAGCAAACACAACAACAACAACAGCAGCAACAACAACAACAGCAGCAGCAGCAGCAGCAACAACAACAACAGCATGTTAACAAAACGATAACATAATAGCGGTTACAAAAATTAGTGAAGGTGAGCCAAAAACACCTAGGTTCTCTTTTCGCCAACTTCTATATCGGTTATCTGGAAAAATCAACTTTTTAAGATAACCCCCTCTAAAACTTCACATATACTAAGCAAGATACGTTGATGACATCTTCATATCATATGAAGATTCTAATAAAGTTAATGAACTACACTGTTCTCAACGAATCCAAAGTAAACTTCATCACTGAGCACGAGAATGATAAATCCTTACCTCCTCCTGATGTATAATTCGATCACTAACATCATCATCATCTATTATTATAGGACCCATATGAACACCAACTACAAAACGGACGATTCCGTCTTAAAACAAATCATTTACAAAAATGTCAAACCGACTTATCCTACCGACAAAATAAAACCACTAATTTATTATAGGAATGCAAAGACATCAAACCTTGTCATGAACAACAACTGCTCTCTTGAACATGATACGGCTTTAAAATAGTAGCCATCTGATATATGGATTTACATGTCACCTTGACGGCTCTGCACGTCAGAATGCTTCATACGTCGGAGTAACAACAACATCACTAACTAGACTAGATACTTAGAACACACGCATAATTTTGAAATTACAAGAGAAATCCTGGAGAACAACGCCAAAAATAATATACTGTAATTCTAGCCATTTCCATCTGCCATCCCCACAATTCGGTACTTACAAACACCTTTTAATGATTCGTAAAGACTATGTACGTAAAAATTGTTCGGTCTTAGCCATAATTTACAGAGGTTACATATCTCCCTTAAAAATTTAGTGACGGGGGTAAAAATAGGGCTTTGTCACTCCCACAATTAAATGCGTATTTGCTTATAAACATCTTTAATGATTCATGAAATTATTTCATGGTTGAGTGGAACATTTGGGCTAACTAACGCCCATCAGTTCGTGCAGTTATGCACTGAAATCACGATTTTCACATGGTTAGAGATACGGTTGTTGGGATTTTATACAAAGTTTGTATTTTTGTTTGTATATGTGTGTGTGTGTGTGTGTGTGTGTGTGTGTGGGTTTGTTTGTGTATGTGTGTGTGAATGAATGAATGTATGAGTGAACGAACGAATGAACGAATGAATTAATGGCTTAATGAATGAATAAATAAATGAACAAATGAATGAATGGATGAATCATTGAGTCAATGATTTTACTTTATTTATGAATCATATTTGTAAAGGGAAACGCCATTTCTGACTTCGAAAATTATTCTACTTGAAAATATGCATTGTTGTATATATATATATATATATATATATATATATATATATATATATATATATATATGTATATATATATATATAGATAGATGTATAGATATATAGATAGATATACATACAAATGTACATACACACGCACACAAACAAACACAGAGACTAGACACATACATACATGCAAACAGTAAACAGTTTTTAACCAATAACTGACTGTTTTGAGTCATTCATCATTGGTTTGGTTGTAGCATACTAACATACACACACACACGTACACACATACATTCACAAACATAAACATACGCACACATACATATACGCACACACACATACATTATTTTACATTTATATAGCGCTTAATTCTTCTTTAAATCTTCGATATTGGTTTTTGGTCAACGTCTGACTTAAAACACTTAACAAGAAATTTAATTGGCGTTCATTGGCCCATTATAATTATATAAACGATAATAATTATTATTATAATTAAATAAATTATTAATAGCACTAATTATAGTCCTAATAATAACAACACAAACGATGATAATAATAAAAAAAATATTATGACGTTATCAATAGTAAAATGTAACGAAATGAATGAATGAACAAATGGAAGAATGAGTGAGTGAATGAATGAATGAGTGAGTGAAAGAGGGAATGAATGAATGAGAGAATGAATGAATGAGAGAATGAATGAGAAAATGATTGAAAAAAGATTGAAGGAATGAAAGAAAGATTGAATATTAAAGAACTTAAGTCTAATTTTTGAAACTTATCAATTCATAAATTCTCTTGAATGCGATCGGACCGTGTATATTTGCTCTTCTGAATGAATGAATGAATGAACAAATTAGCGAATGAATGAATGAACAAATGAACGAATGACCGTCTCGTCGTTTTAAGGTCATATGTGCTCTAAATATTTATCCGAGGAATGCGAATGGAGGAATGAATCTCGATGGATTTATTTCAAATGTT